TTACAGGCAGTGTGATTCACCATGAAAGGCTTATATTGTTATGTGTGAAATATGTGATCACACATGTCTGAAGAATAAAAAAATCTATTTTATTGCAATTATCAGTTTAACATGGAAAGTGGTTAAGTGACTGCCTTCTCGTAGTTTAACACGGTGGATGAAACGGTGAAGATGAAGAGTTCATTTCAAATTGTCCAACTTAATTAAACCAAACTAATAGCTTAAACATGAACAGAATTGCACGTTCCATAAAAAATGATTCCAAATGCACCTCTGACTGTGGAATGCGCAGCATTGACCTCCTCCTTTTAAAACTAATGTGAACTATGCTTAAAAGCAGGTCTGTGCTGGGAAATCAAACATTTTGAATTAATTCTGAAAGTAGAGAGCTCAGATATTCAGCCTGAAATGTGCCAGGATTAAAATCACATTTTAGTGGGGAACTTTTGGATGCCAGTAGCATTTGATACTGACTCTCTTTGCGCTTTTTTTTATTCAGTTGATCAGAGTTTACATATCTTGTTTAATTTGTATGATGTCCATTGATATTATATTTCATCGTCAACCATGACTCGCTTTCTGTATCTTTTTTAAGCAAATAAAAACCTGTTGTTTGTCAAAGCCATGAACTTCACAATGTCTGTGTTCTATGAAATTTCTGAAAAGCTAATTGTGCCTAAACCACAGCAGTTACAAAGCCCAGTCTTATCATGCTTCCAGTAAGTGTTCTGTAGTTCATACTCCCATTTTATACAGTCATGTTGCCATTTCATACAAACTGACTATTTTTATTTTTGATTGTGGTTATAATTCTAAATCAGGTTAGTCATTTCCTGTAAAATAAGATAGCTAATGTTTCCAGGCCCAACATGTGCAACCTTGTAAAGATGGATACTTCTTAGTTGTCAAAAGAACATTTGCTGATGGCAGACTATTAGCATGTTATAGAGAAATACTATAAATCGCTGACTATAATGGCGGTTATTCCCATGTCCAAAGCCTTTTTTTAACCATAAAGTTACAGTCTTAAACACTTCTGGCAGATGATTTCATCCATGACACTAATCGCCTTTTTATCCTCAGACAGCCAGTCAGGTTCCCGACCGGATTAACCAACATTCAGTCATTCGGTTTAACCTACAGTAGCATAACTGTAATACCTGAGCCAACCGTCAGAAACATTTTGATTGCACCAAAATAAGAAGAAAATCTTCTTAAATAACAAAGCAGGTCAGAAAAGTTTACTAAAAATAATTAATCACTGCAACCATCAATGCCATCTTTACTGGGGATTAAATTGTAAGATTCTGATAGAAAAAAAAAACTTAATTGGCGGTAAAATGCAGGTGAAAACTGATCATTTTTATTCACCTTTTTTAGGTTTTTTGGTTTGGGAAGATTTTGCATCTTATTTTGGCTCTACTTTCCACAAACCTGCTCAATAAACAACTAACTTCATCTTGAATTTAAAAGTACCTGGATCAGAATTCAGACTGATTTAAAAGTTATTCTGCAAATCAAAATGCCATCTTGCAGCTGCAAGATTAAACAGCCCAGCCTGCTGAGATTAAAGTGTTGGTCTAAGACTGAGTTCAGTATCTTCAGCATTCCTACTGTTGTTGGCTGTCCAATTTTTTTCCTCTGCTGTTTCCAACTGAGTAGCAGATAGATGAGGAGCTGCTGCATTCCTCTGGGTGGGTGACTCCCTTCTAGTGAAAACTGAAGAAAAATTCATCTTGCCAGGTTCTGCTTTATCTTGAGCTGCCTGCAAAGCTTCAGTAAATCTGCTGGGATTGCTGTGCCATGAGTTCATTTGAAGCTCATACTCCTGAAAGTAGATACAACGGTTAATTTACCGCCTGGTACATTTCAGTTTGATGTTTGCATTTTTTCAAAGGGAAAGTATACAGTTCATAGACAGGCAGGGCTGGCTGCTGAAGCCTGTATACATCTTTCGTGTGACAAGTTTGTTTTTGAAGCTTTTTAAGGCCAGTTCATCCTGACAAATACATTAATGTGGTTTTTAAAGGACAGGCACTGGTGTAAAGAGTGAAGAGAGGAGTAATGTGGGAGGAAAAACTGAGTTTTTTGTTCATAAAGGAGGATTAGACACATCTTAAGAAGCAGAGACTGGATTCACTTTCACTCTTTTCCTCAGATGTTGTTCTTAACATTCATTAACTCCCTCATTTTTTTAACATTTCTTTCCTTCCTGCTTTTTTGTTTTTTTTATCTTGTTGCAACACTGTTTTCATTCTGATAACTTATGTCAGATATGCTGTCTTAACTTCTGTTATTTGATACAAATAACAGTTGCTGCAACTTTTATTGGAAAAACCTCAATAAGTGATGACTGACCAGCATCGTACTGCCCACTGTTCAAAAAAATAAATACAAGATATGCTTTATTTTGCTGTGGTGCCTGGATATTTGTTGCACCATTTATGAAAACTAGTTATTGTGTATTATCTGCATAACAACAGGCAACATTACTGATCCTCTCCTTCTAGTTTTGATCTGAAATGTCATTTGATCTCATCTTTTCATTAACAGAGTTACAGAAACTGATGCCCTAATTTTTCCTGTTATGAGATTTTTTCCAGCTTTCAGCCATTCAAGCTTTTGTTTGCTATAATAAAAGCTTACAGTTACAGTCTGTGTACTCCCCATGATGAATGGACTAAAAACACACCCTAAGCCCAAGGTCTGGTTGGAAACACATTGTACCTAATGTCCTCAGAAAAGCTGGATCATGTGACACTTCGCCCAGAAACGTACAATAGGGATTGCTGGCAGCCATTTTGGGGCGGAGGAACCGACCCAGAACACACGAACAAACTGACCTCGAAAGTGGGGTTGTGTTTCTCATCTTGGTGGGAAAATTTAATCAAGAATAAACATCACATAGCTCAGATGTTGGATTACAGTAAGAACACAGGAAAACTGCTGTTCAGTGAGGGACATCCAGTTAAACCGAACAGACCTGTAAACGCATCAAGTACAGGAAGGACTGAGTCAAATAATTCTGCCTTATAGATGTTTGAAAAAAGGCAATTAGATACTGTACTGTAAAAAAGGTTTGTCTTATGCATCCATAACAATTGGGTGAATGAATAACCTGTTTATATTAAAATGTCTTTCTTTAATCATATGTACAGTTCAGAAATGTGTTATTGTTATATCGAAGTCGCTCTGTAACAGCTTGTTCTGTATCTTATCTTTCGGAAAAACAAATAGTACTCTGCAGATAAAGGAAAACTTTTATGTCGCTTGCATCTTTTTTGAAAGTCTTGCTTTTTCTATCATCGTGTGATGAGTCACAGTCAGCGCTGACTGTGAACAAATGAAAGATAACAGAATCAGAGGAGATGCATTGTTTCTTGTTGCTTTGACTGTAACTTCCCGACAGTCACTTTGCTGTGTAGGCCAGGCGTCTCCAACCTGACGCTCTGTGAACCTTTCAGTGGCTCTTAACTTAATTATTGTTGCTGGACACCTGTATGAGGATAAGCTCACAACTGCATTTGGATGCTAAAATTTCAAGTAAAAAAATAAAACCGTATTTGACTTTAGAAGCTTGTGAGTTGATTTGCATATGCTGGTTTTAGGGCGTGCTGAAAAACAACTTCTTAAAGTTGTTTTTTTATGAAACAAACTGCATCATGTCATTTTTCCCACCAGTAAAAATAAAAGAGGACATCGTCTCCCATCTCTCTGTGCTTTGTGTATTAATCCTACCAACAGGTGGGGTTGAATTCCTCTTTTGGTTGTTGCTCAGTGTTTCTCTGCAGCATTTGCTCCCCCTCTTGGTTTTCTCTGCACCTTCTCAGATGGTTCTGATTCAATGTCTTCTTTTTTTTTCTTGTTTGTCTCATCAATTCTTAATTCCACACCTAAGAGCAAGGCACTGTCTTGAGCTACAAAATACCTGTTGCACATTTTATAAATCAAAAATGGATATTTATTTATTGGTTATAGGGGTCATTCTTAAATGTCAACTTTGTCAAAACGTAGTTTTTGTTGTTTATTTTTGTCTTTTTAATGTAATGATTGACTTACAACTATAAAACAAACCTTTGTCTTACTTGTGCTGTTTTTTTGAACTGCTTAGGGATTATTTATATTCTGCAGTGACACTGGGTATACACTTTTATGGACATTGTTGTACTTATTTATTAGATGCATTTGATCTATTTCCTGCTCACAACATACATAGGAAGATGGTCAGTCATCAATATTTTCTTCGTTAATGCACAGGGTGGGGCTCCATTTTTTTTCCACTAAAATGTTGACAATCACAACTATTTGACACAGGAGCAAATGTATTTCCCAGATGATGCTGAGTGAAAGATATAAAGTCACTCGCTTTGGGTAATAGCAGACTGCTTAAGTTGTATTTATTTTTGTGTTTTATTTAGAGTTTTAAAAAAAACTGAAAATGGTTGAAAACGTTTGAAATGAGTCAATAATTATCACAGATTATGTAAAAGTTCATATTGTTACTTTTATGCAAAATAAAGTATGCATCATAACGTCATTCCAGAGGTGTATTAAAAACTTATCTTTTTCATGATCTCCCTGCGTGTCTTATTCAACACATTATTGACATGCATCATGATGGAGACACACTTCATTTTATTTTATTTTTTTATACATAAGTCTGGGCAATAACAATTCAATCATTATATAGTTTAATGTAATATATGTAAAATATATGCAATATATATTAAATCTTGATGACTTCAGCTTTGATTCCAGACTTTAACTCCACACCAAACTGTCCTTGTGCTAATGGACTTCATGTGCAGAAAAGAGACTAAAGAATGAAAGGAACTCACAACAAATTGTAGAAAATAAGAAAACCATGGAGACATACCTGTTCAAACTGAATATACAATAGTTAGGTTATGTTTGAGTTTTTAGACAACTTGTTGGAAACACAGTGAATTGTTATTCCCGTTATTTTCTGGAAAATAAAATTGTTTTTCTTGTGCTGACAGATCTTATTGTGAAGCTGGCAAAGGACAAGTTTGGAGCCATTCAAACAGAATATCAAAAGGTGAGTGAAAGACAGAGAAATAACCATGTCTTCATCTGGATGTTGAATATCTTATGCAAACAGTAAACAAATACAAAAAAAAAAAAATCTCTGGGATACTCTCTGATCCAACATTCAGTTAAAATGTAAAAAATGCTTGTATTGCCATATTGAAGCAGGACAGATAAGGACTGCTCTCAGGGTTTAATACTGATTAATGATAGTAATACTCCAATTACAACCTTTTATTAGCCTAGGCAACACAACCTTTTTTTCTGGTAAATACCCAACATTTGGGTGCAACTTTTCTGTATATAAAATAATTTTGAGCCTGGAAAAGAATAAAATTTAAATGAACTAAAAACAGCCTTTTTCACTATCTATGTGTTTTGTTACAATATGCAACAGTGCTTTTGCATGCTTGCTTTGATTTAATTTTCTATTGCTCGTTTTCATCTCATGTTTATGTTTTGTGGCTTTGCTCTTTCTCTGATGCTGCATTGCCGTGTCTTCTGCATGTCCTCTTCATCTCGTCTGGCTTCCCCCAGCCAGAGAACATAGTGCTGACCCTGCAGGTAAAGTCCACACTCTGGACTTCCAGTCCAAGCCATATTCAGTGTGTGCTTCTGTAAGTCAACAGGGCGGCACAATTACAGCTGAGAAAGGCATCTTAACTTGTTCAGAACTTCGTTCCATCTCATCATTTGATAAGTTACAGAAGCATCAGCGATTAGTTGTGTAGCCCTTGACTTTCACGCTACCATCCCATTTTCCTTCAACCCCATCCTTCAGTTTGTCATGTTCTCTTTTAAAAGCATATTCTCAGAAGGAGAAATGCAATCACAGAAAAAAACAACAGTGCTTAATCATAACATGGTAATTCAGATTTTTTATTTGTTTTTTCTTTTTACCTGATTGTTGTTTTCAGTTTTGAACTGGTTGCATGTTGACAATTCTGAAATGAGGACCTTTTGTTCCTTTTTAGTTGCGGCATAGTTTTTGTTGTAATAAGTGTCAAGTAACATAATCCAGTATTTTAACATTAGCAGTTTGAGCACATTTACAGTACAAGCCACTCATACTGCATATCTATGTGTTTTGTTACAATATGCAATAAAAGGCCTCGTAGTAAGTTTATATATTATTGGATTTTAAAAACTAATTGAAGCATTTTCTTGAAAATAAGTCAACAAAGGCTTGTTGATTTCTGCACAGATACAAATTTGCCTGAACATGGAGTATTATTGTCCCTCAATGGTGAAATTCAGGTTTATTAGCAGCAAATTGAAAAACAAATGGAAGCAATAAAATGAAAACAAAAAATAAGAAGGTAAGGTGAAAGTGAAATAAGACGTCACATCAGCCTGCATGCATTCACTCCTATTTTTTTACCCTTAACTATTATATTGTATGGAGTTCTTTACTGAGTTCTGACTGATTTATATGCGATGTAAACTGAGATCATTCAAATCCACTCCCTTTACCTTTCATCTCCATGGAAGTTAAATTAAGGTAATAGTTTGATTAAGGTAATAATTTTACTTATAAAAGAAAAGTAAAATTTAGACTTTGAGTCACAAGAAGGGTGCAGTAAAAAAGATTTATTTGATTCCTGACCTTGGTCCATTGATCCGGTGCTTCTGCTATAACAACAAATCAAGCTGAAATAGAAAAAGAAAATGCTCAAACAAACGTTTTCCCCATTACCGGACTGGTGCATCTCAAGTTATGACTTAAAGGTATTAAATTTAGAGTCACATTAGGCAGGTTATTAGCAGGTCTAATGGTGGCTGCTGGCACTAGAGTTAATCAAATTTACATCAGTAAGACATGTTGCCACCCCATCATCCCCTTTGTTCTTATTAGAAGGGCGTCTTTTTCTTTTGGGCACTTGCCAAGACAAAACTGGAGTCCAGAAATAGTCTAAGCTGGAGGCACTCTAAGAGATTTTGTGGAAAGAAAAACATATATACATGGCTGACCTTTTTGTGTGAGGATTCACCCAATAACAAGCAGTGCCCAGAAGCACAATGACAGTGCGGACATTTAAATTTCTACAATGTCCCCAACAGCAGGTTGACGTTGGGGCTTTTAAATGACTCACGTACATTTAAACTCACTTACGCCTCCTGCCATTTTCTCCTTTGCTTCCTACCAACATTACTACTGTCCAATTTTTGTTTTGTAAGATTTGATACCGGGATCCTTCACTCTTATGACTTTAGATCAGAAAAAAAAAAATTATCAGACTTATGATACCAGTAATTGCTTTTCAATTTAAAAAGTTCTTTTGCACAAATATTTCCTGAAGAATAGAGGAATATTTCTGATCCGAAATATTCGGATCAGAATATTTCGGATCCGAATATTTAAGATTAGTGCAGATTAGAGAGGAAGACCTGTTCAGCCCTTCGGGACCACTGAGCGTCATACTCTGATCTTTTCATACAAGACAGGCAAAAACCGTGGTACTAAAGTTACATTTACTAGGAGGGATTACTAACAGCCTTTAAAGTTTTGTCAAATTTCAAATCCTGTGATGAATGCAGGTTTAATAGGGCAGACTCCTGTGGAAATTCAGATAAAACGAGGCAGAAGATATTCACAGAGCATTTCAGCAGCAGTTTAGTCAACCTGAATATTTATGGCATTCAGATGGATCCTGGGATTACTGAGGCTTTGTGTGGAGAGATATGTCTGTTTCCTAGGTGACCACATAAAGACAGGACAGAGTCCTATACATTATAATACATTATATTGTAATACTAGGAATATGCTGTTTTCTGATTTTAAAATGTAGACTACTATTAAAAAAAGTTATTTCAAAATTATTCATTTTCTGTCAAAATCATTCATTCAATTGAACCTTTCTCAGTTGAATCTCAGTGAAACTGGTGATCATCTCAGTTCTTGGTGGATTTGTCTTGTTTCAAATAAAACCTGTTTTTGTAAGTCAGGTTCAGTTAAAGAGCTCCTTCACAATGTTTTTCTGCTTCCTCTTCAGTCAGGTTTTTCATCAGAAATGAAAAACAACACTGCAGGCTAACTCAGATAGGTCAGATTCCTGCTATTGTTCTGGTCTCCATTATTTGAAATATGCACACTGCCAGAGGGTTTTCTTGTAGCGATACACTGACCACGCTTTTCAAGTTAATGCTGTTTTCCAGGTTTCTCTGATGCATGAGTTGCCAGTTCTGCTTATTTTAAGGACTATAATTCATAGAAGGACAATCGGACAAAAAAGAGGAAAACGTGTCCTTCAGATTCTTTGATCACTGTTTTGAAGATGACAGAAAATAAAGTATATTTGTACAATGCATTTAGATTATTAAACAAAAAAAAACCTTTGTACCCAATGTTGGTTGATGATGTAACTTCTTAATTCTGATGCATTTAAGGCATACAAATAAAAGTCTTATTTTCATGTACCTGTCCTGCTGACCACCAAACAGAAACAATAAAGAGGAAAATGTAATCTCTGACTGATTGATTTGGGGCTTATTGATTTTTTTTCTTCAGATTTTTCTGTTACAATTTGAATCTGTTATCAATGAGTCTGAGGTTGGTTGTCCCATTTTAGCTTGTTAGCAAGAGATAATTAAAAAATCTGAATCAAATTAACTTAGAATGTTCTTTGTTTATGTACATGTCCGTTAGACAAGAGGAGTTTTTGCAGCCCTGGGATCTTCCAGATATTTTTAGATTTGTTGCTCTCTTTATCCTTGGCCTCCTTGTGTGTCCTTCCTTCTTTCTCCTCTGTTTTACCCTCATTAATCTCTCCTTTCTTCAATTCCTGCCTTCCAAACTCTCCCAACCCAACACGTAATCTCCTTTCACGTGTGATTCCCCATCTAACTTTATTTCCATATTTATACCCCCTTCTTGTTTCTTTTATGATAATACTCATAGTTTCCTCTCATTCTTCTTCCACTGACTCCAGGCCATCTATTATGAGATAGGCTTCCTCATATGTGCAGCGGTGGGTCTGCTCTTCGCCATCCTCATGCCGGTTGTGGGACTCTTCTTCTGCATGTGCCGCTGCTGCGACAACTGTGGTGGTGAGATGCACCAAAGGCAGAGGAAGAACGCGGACTGCCGGCGCGGCCTGCTGGGAACGTTGCTCTTCTCCACCTCGCTGGTCATCACGTGAGTGTGTAATTTCTGGCAGATGCAGAAATTACAGAAATATGATCATAAAAATGCATGTTATTTTTAAAGAAATATTTGAATGCACACACTCTTGATTACATGCAACACCCTCTCCCTCTTCAGCAGCTTTGTGCTCATAATTATGTTTATGCACAGATATTACAGACACATTCCTCCTCTGGTCAAACACTCAGTCATCAGCCTTCACCATCCCCCCATGTTGTTTGCTAAATATAGTAAAGTCTTACTGTAGATTCTGCGTGGCAGCACCCTTCATCCTTGTGTTCAGTCTAAGCTTGGGTCTCATCGTCCTGCATTGGGTTCTTCCACAGAGCTCTATCATGTCAATAAATATTCATAATCATAAATAAAACCACAGGATGCCTTAAAATGTCAAATTCATTCATGTGTCTTACAATTTCATCTTTTCTTTTCTGTTGAGATTTTGCTTTATGCTTTATATCCACAGCAGATCCCTTCATCTTATGCTCTGACATTTTTAATGTTGAAAAAACTCAGTTTTGAAATTGCAGTGTTCCTATTAAATAAAAAATTAAATTAAAATCACACGTGAATAAGCTTGTTCAAAAAATAAGTTACTAAAAATCATGGCAGCCCCAGATATAAACAGCTGCATGTGATATAATTAAGAGATGGTGTTAACACTCATCATTTGTCAACCGTTAGAGGAGACATTGGCGATTTATTCAGGCGTTGGAGCAACAAGCACCTAATACTTTTAAACGTCTACCTATACAGAGTTTTGTGGGAATTGTAGTTTGTGATTTTACATCAAAGCTGTGGACTCAACACATTTGAATGACACACAACCTTTTCTTAACTTTACGATGCTGTGAGAGCTATAGTGGAGCCAGCTCTGAGACATGAATGACACACAACTTAATGTTGAACTTTCCACAATCAAAAGGTTTCTGAATTTTAAAGAAGTAATAAACTAATTTGTAGCACGATTAAGACAATTTTTTTAAATAGAAATGTATTTTTAAATGTCAGATGGCTTCACTACAAATGCGGATCACTTCATTAACATTCCTACTCATTATTTTTCTGCTCAAAAAAAAAGCAAACTTCATCAATGCAGAGTTAAACCTGCTTAGGAGACCCACTTTTTGAGCAGATCTGACTTGAAACACTCAAAAATCCAGGTTTGCAAACATTTATCTCATGGATCTTCTTTTCTTTTATTTTGATTTGCTTTGCAGTCTTGGTAGCAGCATGAAATCTTTAGCCTAGTGGTTTTGAGAGAGCTCTATTTGCTGCTTGTGCTCAAGTGAAAGGATCCAGGAGTGTACTTAATTTGATGTTCTTTGACTTTCTGTCTTCATGTTATAAGAAATTCCACAGCAATAACCCAGCAGCCTAGACAGAGAAGTCTGCAAGCTGCATTTCTGCTCTTATTAAATCTCCCAAGCTACAAGGTAGAGATGCAGCAGAAGCTCTAATGAAGCAATTACAAGCTGAGCGAGAGGCACAGAGCCCAGGAACTGACTGCTTTTTACTGCCACACGAAAGCTGACAGCCAGGCTCACAGGAGAGCAGTGGTGACATTTATTTCCCAAGAAGTGTTCAAACCAGATTAAGGGGAAAACAGCAGCCAGGTGAGGTTGGGAACATAAATAGGCAAAAAGTAGTTGTTGGTACAGAACAAAATTGACTTCATACTTTGTTTTGCATAGGTAAATTTGAGGCAAAAATACATGTTTTCGAAGATATATATATTTTTAAGCTCTTTCCGGAGATTCCTACTAACTGTGAAATTCAGTTTATTTAAATTAATTTATTCACTGAAAAGACAAGTTACTGAAAATTATATCCAAGATTACACTGATGTTTAACAGCCAGAAGGTTTGGGTTCCTGCATAAGACAAATCTGTTTGCTGAAGTTCTTTGTTGCTAATATTTACTAAAAAACAATTTGTTGGTGCTTGACAATCTAAAGGTCAATGGGTTTGTTTTATGGTTTTCACTTATATCTTTTTTGAGTAGTGATTCAGGTTGTAGGAATGTAATATCACTTTGTTCTGTGGGAAGGTCCATCCCAATTTACACTTCACCAGAACCATTTCACAGTTCAGTTCACAGAGATTAAAAATACATTTCTGTACATCAGTTTATTGTGGCAGTGGCGCCACAATAAACTAATTTTTCATCAGATATAGTTTCTTGCTGTCATGTGACTTTAGGCTCTTATTCTGTTTTTTTGCAGAATATTACATCTTAGAGAACAAAACCTAAAGCTCCACTTATTCATTAATTTTTAAGTTTATCTTTAAAAATATGCACTAATCTGAAACAACAGTAAATGGCCTCTTTACATTTTTGTCTGTAATGGGGATTTACTTTCAAAGCACTGAAAGACTGACTATCTGACAAATAAATAAATAAATTGTCAGTTATTTTGGCCTGCAAACAAACCTCTGACCACAGCAAAGCAATAAGGGCATGACAGCAGCAGGAACATCCTCTGCTTGTCATCATCCATCACACCAAATAACTAATTAAACTCAGATTTGGAGCAAGTTGAAGCAATTGATGTAGCAATAATGAGCATGCATCTTTAGCTCCATTAGATTCTGGCTGTTGTTGATTTAAACATATCTTCTGTCTAAACATTCATTGCTCTGGTCTTTTAATATTTTTACCTTGAATTGAAATATTTTAATTGAGAATTAATTGATTATTTTCAATGTTTTCCCTGATATTTATGTACATGGATCAACATTAGTAAACATTTTATGCAGAAAATGTGCAAATGTTCTTCACGTATCACATCTGTGCTCTCATGCATGTTCGTTATACTGATAGGACACGTTGCATTTTGTCTACCAGCTACGCTAAAGCCACACCATGCATTATTTAAAGAACAGCAGGAGCTATTTGAGTCTGTCCCAATCAGCTCTGATTCAACATGACCCATGCATGGATTTATAATAAGAAAATGAAGATCCCTCCTTTTATTAGAGCTGAGTGGAGGAGCCCTGCTCATTCTGTTACCCAGCATGCACTTCAACAACCTATTTCAGTTACTGGGTGTCCAACAGTATTAACAAAAAAGGTCAAAAAATTACAAGTCCAGTAGTTCATGCTTATTATGCTAATCAGATGGGTTCTAAATAAAGATAGTGCAGATACTTTGAACTGAGTATTGACCTAAAATCCCAGGCAGACAGTCTAGTGTGGTAAAACTTGTCCTCAGCTGGAACGGCCCATCCAGTGATCCGAAACGAGAGAACAGAAGGCTTCCACTCTGAAATATGTCCTCATATTAAAGGTTTAGCTTTTCCAACATTTCCAGGGTAAGATTATGCTGCTGCAATAAGATATAAATATAATTTAAGGCTTGCTACATCTTCATCGGGAGTTCTGATAAGTGTGAAGGACACGTTATGTGCTGTTGTACATCCTGCTGGCATAAACAAACCTCTCAAAACATACATTATCAGTTTTATGCATATAAAAATTCAGAAAACAAAAAAAAAAACAATTTTTAAAATATAGTATAGTTATGTGAAATAGTACCGTGGAGCTGTGATGTGGAGCTTAATAAGCCCCCTGCTGTAAGCACAGGCTGAACAAAACTTCACACAGTCAGTGTTTTTGACCCAGAAAGTTCTACTTTTATTATTATAACTGTATGGGAGAATATTGCTCATTTTTCTTTTAAAGATTTTTTTTGGCACCTTTGCACCCAAATTGTAATATTTTTATGTTCAAAGTCAATGCATTCAGCCAAACACCAATAAAAATAGCATAACAAATTAGTCTTTGTTATGCATTTCCACAGTTTTCTTTATTAAAGTCGTAAAATCTTTGCTTTGTTATTTTGTCAGCTTCTTGTGCCTGAAGGCCTGACTTATTTTCTTTTTGGAACAGATTTGTTATTGAGTGTGTGTTTTCATGGTCTCTGTAGTGCCTCATGACTTATTTGCTGTTCCATTAACAAACTACATGTTTTTCTCCCACTGCATCCACCTTCAACACACAATGGCAGCTCGACACAAATCATTCCTCAGCTAATTAACAAGAGAGGCCATCCTAAGAATGAATCCTCAAATGCATCTTCTTAATGCAAAACATCCCTATTAATCAATTTCTAATTTTCACAAGTCTGTTTCATCATGAAAACCACATTATCTTTGCGCAGTTTATTTTGCATATTCCACTGTGGGACTGACTGAGGTGCACAGGCATGCGTAGGCATTCTTGCAGAGTTTTACTTAAAAGTAGAGATTATATGCCACATTGTTCCTTGGGAGAGAAAAAAAATGAAAAGGAAAAGCTGCATGACTCTGGGATGTGCTTTACGTCTTAGCTGTATTTCTGCAAAGCTCGGATACTCTCCTGCCCCAGAAGTAAAATTTCTAATACAGCTTGGTCTGTTTTGGCTCTGGAATAAAATAAAGCAAACATTGTTATATATAAAAAAAAAACATGTTGAAAAGTTCATTTCAGGAACTCATAATCGTTGTATTTTAAGAAAACTCATGGTTTGTTAAACTCGTTGAAGGAATTGTAGTCTTCTGTAGAGAGATTTCTCTCATGCAACTCATAGATGTGAAGATGTCTAACTTCTGAAATTAAGATGTATGAATAAATGAATTAAACATTTATTTCCAACTTCAGAACTGTAAATATTAATACAAGAAAAAAGAATATTAGATCATTCATACAGAGCCACTTAAATCATAAATGTTTTAATATTTCATGAGTTTCTTTTGTCAGAAACAAACTTGTTTTGTCTTCATTCACAGCTTTACAGTTGAAGTTGACTCCAGATTAAAGAGCAATGAATAAATGTCAACGCATTAATTCAGTAGATATCAGATATGTATCCTGAAATTGGGATGTTAATTTTTTATTTAAATGGAAGCCATTGAATGTGGAAGAAGTTTTGTTTTGGATAATATTTTTGTGTCTTGCTCCAGAAAATGGTCAAATATGATCAAATCCAGTTCAGTTAGTTATGTTTACCTTTGATATACACTATATACATGCAGTTTAACTGATATAATTGCTTTAGAAGCATTTTTTGTGGTTTTCCTCCAGTTTAAAATCATCCTGATCTCCAATGATTTCTTTTAGGTTCAGACTTCAGTTATTATGTCATCTTCTCTGGACTGTTTTCAAGGAATTTATAGTTTCCAGACAAAAACGTACACAGAGCACTGAGAATGAAAAGGGCAAGAGAGCTAAACAACAGAAAAGGCATGTGAGAGCTAATTTGTTCATTGCCTGGTAATATTTTTATAAGGAAACTGTAGTTGTAACAGGATGCAGGGTGCAGACACTGACCTGATGAACTGTGAGGAGAAAAAAATACACTGTGAAAAATTATTAAACTAGCTGCATAAATTACATAACAAAAAAGAGTGAATAAAATTATCACTTATCCCTACTGCCTCAAGTTAAACATATGATCTTGATTATTAAAATGGTATTATAATTATTTACTTTTATTACATTTTATCATGAACACTCTATTTAGAACTATGAGAGGAAATGGATCATTTTCTGTTGTCCTGCTCTTAATAGAGTAAGAATAACAAGCCTATGTTTTCTGGTTAATTAGTCAGGGTATCTGCTCAGGCATCCAGAAAGTTGTGTGCTGATTAACAAGGATGCTGTTTGTCACACATATTACTTGCTGGTATTAAAGTCTTAAAAAGACTGTGATGTGCATAATTTTAGTTTTTATAGTATTTGTTAGGCACTTCTCAGCAGACAGTGGATGTGTCAGTGTACTTGGTTTGATTCCAGAATGTTTAACTCAGCACATATTTGTCCCACATTCCCTAATCTGTCTGTCTAACATTAACAACAACAAAAAAAGAAAAGAAAAGAAAAGAAACAAAGATGTGCCAAAAATAAATGAGTATCCTAATTTCAAATATTTTGGATTGTCACAGCACCATCCCAAACTTTTTCCCCTCACATGAAGGTGACAGTTACACTTTACAGTAGCTTTTCAAACTAAAGCTGATGTCTTTTTGAGAGATGGGAGGAGTGAGGTCCAGTTCCAGCAGAGTGAAACAAGGGGACGGCTGAAAGGCGACTGCCCCGGCCTTGCAGCCGCAGTCATGCTGAATGCAGCCATTGTTAGTTTGCAAAAGCTATGGAGCCACTAGACCATGTAACACACACTTCCCAGCCCCCAGTAGTGGCCTAGATTCTGCAGCACAGCACTGGACTGATGCTCTTCTTCATCTGCTGTTCTGAGGCTCCCACCCTTAGGGAAGAGTTTCATGTGTCATTTGGCTTTTTCTCAAACAAGAATTAAAGCCCTTTTCCAGAGTTGTTAGAGGTAAGTCCCGCTCTTGCTGTGTTAGAATTTTCCCCTCTGGTCAAAACGAGGCAAAAAAAAAACAACAAAAAAACACACAGACGTGCAACCATTTTCCAAAGCTAAATGTAGCGGACAAACTTAGAGCACAACATGCTAGTGGCTCATCCCAATATTCTTAAACCAAAGGAAGAACACATGAAACCAGATTAATGTAAAATGAGTTGATGTTATGAATAATAAAGCGATTTTATTACAGGAGAGTTTTTAAACATCAGAGCAACAAATATTATTGGGACCTTTATAAGATAAACTAGAGAAAAACAACACATGGTTTGCAAAAATGTGGCAAGCATTGTCTTCATACCCTATTTTCTGAATCACATAAAAACATACTTTAATAATTTAGAACTTCTAATAATTAGAAGTTAGAATCGGGACTAAAGATAGTCCAGCTGTTGGAAGTTTAATCTCAATCTTAAATATGTCTGTTATATAAAGGCCTCAGAGATTTGTTAGAAACTTTAGTGAATAAACAGCATCATGAAGGAACACAGCAGACAAGTCAGGGAGAAAATGTGGAGACGTTTAGGGCATAATTAGAATAAAAAACAACATTCCAACATCTTACAGAGGATTGTTCAATCCATCTCACAGAAATGGAAAGAGTGTAGCACAGCTGGACATGGATGCCTTATGATGAGGTAAGCAAGAGGTAACTTTGGAGGAGCAGCAGAGATACTGCTCATGTGTGTGTTTCTCCAATCTGAGCACTTTTAGAGTGATGTCACTGCATGTTTCACATGTAATTCTCATAACTACAAGTCTCTTTGATTTTCATGGAATCATTTCATAATATTTTTGTAATATATGATACAGTTAGAAAAAGCCCCCCATTATAATAGGTAACGCATCCAATACTGACGTGAAGCCTCAGGTGCTTCCTTGCAAACATCTAACAAATTTCTGTGTCTTGGTTGAAATTGAACATTTGGCCCCAATTTAATCTGTCTGTTTCTGGCAGTATTTTTTAAATGAACGAGGAACACAAATCAGCAGTAGAAAAGCTGAATTTGCGTGCTGTGAATATTAAATTGCATACCTGTTGCTTTGCTGTAGCGTTCACATCCCACTGGGTAGAAGCAGAAAATCTGAGATACATAAAGGAAAGAACGCTCTTGAATAAGAACATCCTTACTTATCTTAACCTTCACAAAACAGATTGTTCTTTTTTCTTCAAAGTTTTCAAAGAGAAACTTTTAACACTTTAGGTTAGAGAAAGTAGAACTCATCCATTTAAAGCTTTTGATGTTTTTCCTATTAGTGTAATATAAAAATAAATCACATTAAAACATACATATATATATTGTAGAGTGGCAGAAGAGACTCTCCACAGCTTCTTTCTAAGTGCTTTGCTTTTCGCTCAAAGACTCTTTGTTAAGCACCAGATTCCAGTGACCTTGCTGGACACCAGGGAGACAGAGTGAGTGAGAGACAAAGAAAAGCAGAAGGAGGTGGGCTGAAAGAGAGACAGAGGGAACCGAGTTCAGATTCTACACAAGGGAAATATGAGTTTAATATTAAGCCTGATGTTAACATGTACAGTATATTGAGTAATGTGTTCATTTAGAAAATCCCAATACATAATATGGACAAGCAAGAAAGTTTGATTTCATGAATTTAGCAAAAACTTAATTTATAAAAATTTATGAAACTGTATATTTTCAACGGGGAAAGGAAAAACTGAAGAGAGAGAAGGCTGAACAAAAGGTTTGTGGTTGAAGTTGATAGTTTTGATCTTTCTTTGGTAAATTATCATTTCTCTGTTTCACTCTACTCATCTGACTAATTCACAAGTTTTGAGTTATTCAGTAACGGACTTTGTGAAGCCCTACTTGTCAAAAATCAAGTTAATTTTAGTGGTGGGACTCAATTAAAAATGTTAGTCGAGTTAATTGGAGGGTCTTTTTTGCAATTGATTGCATTTTGATCAAAAACCATAAATCATATAATAAGCAACATTCTCAATTCAAAACCCTTTTTGTTTATAATCTGTTGAATAAATAGGCGTGAGCTCAACAACAGCAATATTTATTGTTTTTATCCTAATATCTAGGTTATTCTACCATCACATTGGTGCAAACAGTTATCAAACCTACTCAGATGTCAGGTATGTTAGAAACAGTTGGGTACATGCAGTTTGGTATATGCACTTCTTGCTCTTTGTTTGTTGCAGGTATTTTCACTAAGATCTTATTTTAGGCTAGAATAGCTTTGCTGATAAAAGCTAACTCCTTTTAGCACAACTAGTCTTTCCCAGCATCTCATCAGATTGTTTTTTGAAGCATATATTGAGTCAAGAGAAGCAACCTTGTCGTCAGCTGTTTGTCAGATTTGTGGCTATCATAGAAACAGGCAAACAAAGGTTACATTCTGAATGTTTATATGAAAAAAAACGCATTTTCTTTTAAATTTTTAATGTTTTAAAATGTATTTAATAATAGAATTTAAATTAATGTGTTAATGTCCTGGCACTACTAATTTTGTGTAAAGTTTCAATTTGAAGAGTAGAAAAATGAAATTCAATAACTTCATAGTTCTCTTGCTACTGTTCTGCAGAAAAGCACTTGTACACATGTAGGAGAGTCAGAAGAAATTGGAAATAGTATATCTCATCATGCCCTGTCTAAACAGACATTACTGCCCTTAATGTGGGAAATGTCTTCAGTTTAATGTCACATTAGATTTTATTCAGAATAAAGACTGTGACTAATGCAGCTGCTGCTCAGAACACTATAAGGATAAACTACACACACCATCTTCACTGCATCACATATGTACAAGCTGCTTTTGTACTTATGCTGAACAACAGACACACACACACACACACACACACACACACACACACACACACACACACACACACACCCACACACACACACACACACACTCACATCTCCACTGCTTTTTTATTCAATGAGTCACAACAACCCGATTCATTTCTATTGATCTAAACCATCCCAGTTGCCTCTGAGTCAGTCCCTTTGTTATTCCTCTCAGCAAGTCATCTTACATCATTCATAAAGCTGCTTATTCCACGGAGGCATTTCCATGAAAGAGGTTCTCTGTGTAGTACAATCCCACTTTATGAATTCTGACTTCTTTAGAACCATCTCTTCTTAAGTCTGATCACCCTTGGAGCCATAGCCTTCCTCACAGGAACCGCCGAACTGACTTAGTGTAGCAGGGGTACGGGTGAGGTGCTCTCAGCTAGGATGCAAATGAGTTATGATATTATGGGCTAGCTCCCTTCATGTTCCTCAAGCTAATTAAGTCTTGTGAGCTACTCAGGTTTGTTTGAAGCATACAAGAGACTTCCTTTGATGACCTGCTTCATGTATTTTTGTTTCTTCATTAAATTTAGATTTGTTTACATCCTGAGGAGCTGAGATTAAACATTTGTAAACAAACTACAATCATGATTTTTTTGTTGATATTTATATTGAATTTATATAATAATATTACCTAGTTCTACAGGTGCCTTAATGTAAAAGTAAAAGTGGGAAAGACTGACCCCTACTGCTGCTGGCATGTCATCGTCCCATTCTGCAGAACCTGCTGCTTTTAAGTTGGGAATGCCTGGATTTGAGACAGTAATATCATCATATTTGCTTCTGCCAATTGTTTACAGGATTGGAATACTTTGTGCGTATTCAGCCAACCAGAATCTGAGCTCTCAGGTGAAGAACATACGCCGTCTGGTTAACAGCAACATGAGGGACCTGCACACCTTTGCTAATGACACACCTATGGTGAGACGAAATAAAAACACAGCATCAACAGCGGCCTCTAATTCTAAGATCATTTGAAAGTTAATTAATTTTAGTGATTCAATCTGAAAACTGGGCTGCACAGTGGCACAGTTGGTAGCAAGAAGGTCCCGGGTTCGATTCCCAGCCCGGGGTCTTTCTGCACTGAGTTTGCATGTTCTCCCTGTGCGTGCGTGAATTCACAAACATGACTGTGAGGTTAATTGGTTTCTCTAAATTCTTCCTAGGTGTGAGTGTGTGCGTGCGTGGTTGTTTGCCCTGTCTGCCTCTGGGTTGCCCTGCGACAGACTGGCGACTTGTCCAGGATGATCCCACCTCTTGCCCGGAACGATAGCTGGAGATCGGGACCAGCACCTCCTGACTCCACTAGGGACAGGGGTGTTAGAAAATAAATGGATGAATCTAAAAACTGAAAGTCATTCTTTTATTTTATGGCTGTATATTTCAAGTACTCATTTTTTGTAAATGTTGCTGATGAATACACAGCTTATAGGGTCTTATAAAACTCAGCTAATTTTTTATTCAGAATCTAATGAACTAGTTTCTTTATGCTTCCATGTAAGCCTGTTTGCTTTGTGTTTCCTGTTTACAGCAAATTGATTACCTAATATCCCAATACGCCACTGTCAAGAACAAAGTCAACTATGACCTAGATAGTAAGTAGATCTTCTTCTTGCCTCTGATAGTGAATTAAGTGGGCATAAATGATTCACTCAGCTTTTCTTCTTGGTAATACATCTTGTTTACTTCTCTTTATCCACGACTTGTTTTTACAACTGATTAGCGACATATCTGGGTCTAAAAGCTCCAGCTGTGACTGTAATGAAGGCTTCCTTTGAGTATTCAAGTTTTCTTCTGCAGGCAGTTCTTTCCTGATGGTTAGATATTGCAAAAAAAAAAAAAAAAGCCTTGCAGCTAGGCACAACAATGTTAAACTTGTTTTACATATAAATATAGAAAACATTTGCCTTATAGATGTCCTGCTCTTTTTTTACAGACATAGGTCCATTACTCGGAGGAAGGATACATGTACGGTTGGATAAAGAGGTCCATCCTGCTTTAAACCAAGTGCTTAATATGGCTGGAGGTACCGCAACACATTTTTTTCTTCCTTTCATTTACTAACTTTCATGTAATAGCCTGCTACTATCAGCATATTGCAAAACGTCATTGTTCTTATATGATTTAAACTTACGGAGTAGATGTTTCTTTAAGGCAAACACTTTTACTTTAGTCTTATAAGCAAGTCTTATACTTTTAATCATTATTACTTCTTTTTATTGTTGTTTATGTTTTTCACAAAGTGAAAATCCAGAGAGCCATCAAAGGTAACTCAGCGACTCCATGACTTACTGATGATCCAGTCGTTTTATCCCTAATGTTGTGACTTTTGATACTGTTGTTGCTCCTACTATCTGATCCTCCTGGGTTTCTTTCCTGAAAATTTAAACCTCCCACCTGGGATTTAACTAAGGATAAATTTGATTATCCTTATAAATAAAATTGATATGATTTGTTGTCATCAAGTCACATCTTCACAGAGAACAATTATGACATTAAAATTGCACTATGCAACATCTGACAACAAATGTCTTTAAAAAATAAAAATAAAAAATGGAAACCGGAAGAACATTATAATGAGAAATATTTTGAATTTGCTTTTTCCTATTTGGTGCTGTTTCTCACTTTTTACAAGAAAGTGAGAATGGAAGTAAACATTCTCACTTAAAGTGAGAATTAACTTTTTGTTTCATTTATGTGACTGACAATGTTGATGAGTGCAGTTTTAAGTCAATGGATCTCACTGAAAGTCCAAACCAACATCAACCTGCATCTGAATATCTCAAATGTGTTCCCTCATGGTGACATGTTTGTTTGAGCCAGTCATAATTTTATTTTAACTAACCTGCAACAACAAAAAGAATATGACTAGTCACCTAAAATAGGCTGTGCTTTTTAAAAGTATTCAAATCCTTTAAACTTTTCCACATTTAGTCATGTCAGAATCCCAACTTCACTTTATGAATCCATGAATTATTTTCCTTTTCTTCTCCATTTTGTACTGCTTTGCATTGGCCTGTCACATAAATTCCCAATAAAATGCATTCACTTTTGTGGTTGTGAGATGATGTCATGTAAAAAAAAATGTGAATACTTTTCAAGGCACATCTGAAGAAGACCAAAAAGCAGTCTGAGTTCCTGCATAATTATAATTAACCAGCCCTCTTTTTACAAAGTATTTATGTTTTTGTGTCAGTGTTGCCATTTCTCCTATTGCATTTTTCATCACTGTTCCAGCATTTGCCAGTGTCTTCTTATTTCTTATCCTGTTTAATGTTGAATGTTTGCTGCAGGATATTATGAGACTTTTAGCAAATAATGACTCTCAAAACTCTCAATTACAGAACTACGAGCTCCTCATTAACTACATCATCAATAATAAAAAAACTATTATTTAGATTATTGCTGTTCCAGGAAAAACAAAAACGAGTTTTCAGTTTTGTGAGAAGTGTTGTAATGAAGTCAGGCCTGGTGATTTAGTCTGAATGTGAAACAGAAGCACATATTATAGATTCAGTTTTTTTTATGTATGTATGCTGGTGTTAAAACTAAAGTGTCATTCATACAACTGAAAGTGCTGCTAATGATTTCAGTGTGTTTTTGCATACAATCCTGCATTTTACCAGGACAGAATTATAAGAGTTTTATAAATTATTTCTCTCTCTCTTAGTCATTTTGTGGTAAGCCTTTGAAAATCTTAATAAAATTTAAAACTTGATTTCATCCACAAACTATTATATTAAAGGGCTGTAAAGAACACTTCTATAATTATGTTTCAAAGGGACATAATAAACATTTTAGCTTTCATGCCTGGTTTTTCCATCACAACAACCAAATCCTCTTCTTCAACTCATTTTTTGTTCTCGTTCCTTTCAGCCATGAGGGAAACCAAGGAGGCCCTGGAGAACGTCAGTGTGTCTCTGGTGGTCTTACAGGAAGGAGCTGGAAAACTTCATTTCAACCTGAGCCAAGTCCGCGACAGCATCAACCGCACCCTCGATGACCCTGGGTGTCATGACGAGGAATCGGACGCCACCACGGCCCAGCTTTGCCGCAGCATCCGCCAGTCCCTGTCCCAGCTACAAATCAGTGCGAATTTCACCCGGGTACGAAACTACTACACAATCTGAGAATATAATATGATGTGAACAGTAATCTCAATGGCTTCGCTTTACTGTCAAATATAGTACTATAGAGACACTTTGCAAATGAACTTAACACAAACAAGCTTTCATAATGTCTGACATTTCAAATATTGTTTCAAAGTCTAATGACTGTGGCTGCAGTCTAATAAAAGTTACTAAAGTCTCTTTCACATTGGCCTTAGATTGTCAGATGAATTACAAATTTAGTTGGAGAGGAAGCAACATTTTCTTCAAATTTTATCATTAGTCAACTCATCAATTTCAGCTCTGCAGGAAATTGAAAGAGAAATCGAGGAGAAAAAGGGAACAGTGTAATCTTCATTTCACATCAGTGTTCATGTTTATTGATATTTTTTTCACTGATTTCTAGCTTCCTAATGTGAGCCCTCAGCTGGAAAAGATGAAAAATGTAGTGAAAACAGATCTCAGCTCTGTCGTCCACAGGGTGAGTGTGAATAAATTAAAAGATTTTCCTCCACATGTTTTTAAATTGATTTTAACCAGTATCACTAACATGTCTTTTTAAAAAACTTAGTTTTTATGCCATTATGAATTTTAAAAGCCTGATGTCTTCTCTTTTTCTCAGGGGTTTTCCTCTTTGAATGACACTCCGCACATTGTGATTGAACAGACAAGAAGCGTTGTCAATAGTATGTGTAAAAGCACAAACAACTTCTGCTGTGCACATTATGTTCTAATTGTGTAAATTAATGTAATAGTTTTGGATTTTTATTTGTTTTGTAAGTGTGCATAATGAGACAGATGCAAAAAGTGAACATATGACAATCATATCTTTACAGCCATGCCTGCTGTTTCATTTAATCTTCATCTAAAGATCAGATCAGTTATGACACACATGATTAATTCAGAATTAGTCAGTTCTTTTGTTGCTTTAGTAATAGCATTCTTTCTAATGACTGGTCTTTGATTTAGGTGTCCAGAATTTACTGGACAGTATTGGCAACAACATCAGCAGCTTCTCCAAAGCTTTCCCTGTGCAGACCTGTTTGTCTAACTTCACCATCTTCATCAGCCACGCACACGCCAAAATCGAAGACTACTATCCTGAAATTGATAAACTGGACTTCTACAGGTAAAATGATATCCGGACAAGTGAACGATTTTCTTTGCATAAAGAACAGAAAAATGTTTTGCAGTGCAAGAAAGGTTATGTCCTATTTCATGTTAGAAATGTATCATTATTTTGTACAAATAAAATATAATTATTATGTTTCTGCACCTACGAGCCACTAGCAGAGGGAAACTCAAATGTATTCAAGATATATAGAATACATATGTTGGCTCTACATGTTGTTTAGTTTCTGATTGATGTTCGCAGATGGATCGGCTGCATCGCTCTGTGCTGCATGGTGGTTCTGGTTTTGGCCTTTAACTATCTGGGCCTTCTGTGCGGCACCCTGGGATACGACAAGCATGCCTCTCCCACGACACGAGGATGTATCTCCAATACGGGAGGAACACTGCTGATGGCGTAAGTCTAACATGTCCTACTGAAACTCAGGTTTTATACCTTAACCAGTCTCGTCTTTTAGTTCCAAGCAGCTATTTTTTTCTCAAGATTTTCAATTAATTTGATCTTCGTTCAAATTAAGTAGGAGAGAAAACATTGGAGATTCTCGATAACAATTATAAAATAGAAATATTCACAGTTAACATTATGAACATGAAGTAAATCAAAAATTCCCACCTGAGAGTGAATTTGCTTTTGTCCACAGTGGTGTTGGATTTAGCTTCATTTTCTCCTGGATGCTTATGGGAGTGCTGACCACCATCTTTCTGGTTGGAGGAAACATGGAGAAACTTCTTTGTGAGCCATTTCACACCAAAGAACTCTTGAAGGCAAGTGTAGAAAGCAGACAACAATTATTCCTTAACACTTGACTTTAACCTCTCTTTGGATTAGAAGGAATGTTTTGGAACATTCTTTTTCCAATTTATGGGTTTTCATTAACTAGAAAATGTAACGTTTTATAAATGTGTAAGAGAATGTACTTTCACCATAGATTGTATAGAGATCTGGGGTGAAATGCTTCAAATTTGTTGTCCTCCTCAAACAATTCCTTGAGTTTGTTGTTTTTTGCTGCTTTCACCAATGACAAGTTATCATTAGATGGTAATCACTTTATTTTACTTTAGTACTCACTGGTCATAATGTTAGGCCTGAATGGGGTTGTAATGATGAGATGCGATAGTCCAGTCCATGTTAGCTACAATTCCACCAACTATACATCTACAGAGTTCTTATCGCTTGAATGTAAAGAACACATATTAAGATAAATGTATGAGAGACCTTTGACATTTCTTCTGACTTTTTTTCACCAGGTCGTTGACACCCCATACTTGATCAAGCCAGAGTGGAAGAATTTCATTCCAGGCTACATGTACAATGACTCTGAATTGGAGCTGACATCGGAAAGCTTGTACAGGCAAGGAAAACTCAGATATATTATATTATATATTAACAATTTGCAAAGTTCTGTTGTGATCCCAAATTTATTTAAAATTTAGTTTCAAATAAACATATTCAGGTTTTCAGCAGGTATTCAAATGTGAAATGCTTTCAGTTGAGGTAAACACATGTCTTTTATACAGACAATTAGAAAACCTTTTTAAGCAATACATAAACAACATTGCATTAAACACACCTGAAGAGTGGAACAAGGTTTTGAAATTATAAAGAAATGCAGGGTAATTCTAACCATAGCAATGCATTCAGTGTCCTTTGTATCTATCTTTTTATATTTAAAATCTTAGAAAGCATTGATGAGTGCAGTTTAAACTTTTAAAAACAGTTTCTGTTGGATGTTGAGTTATCAACTAATGAGGTTACTCATATTTTGCGAAAACTTTCTGCTGTGGCACATTCATTGCTTGTGGCATCGAGTCTCCAGTTGAATATTTCATCCACATGGAAGGGGGGATGCAAATGAAAGGAGCTGCAGTTAACTTGCCGTAGCTAATTAGTGTCATTTTTTTATACTTTAGTACTGCTTTTCTGCAGCTTACTTCTGTATGATTACATAAGCTTTCATCATCCTCCTGCTTGATGGGGATTCATAAGTATGCTGCGATGGCAGACCCAAAGTCATTACATTTACAAACAGACATGGATTTAACTTTAATAAGAAAACTCCTCTGACCGAGTCTAGTTGGTTGCTTAAATGTTAGAATTTATAAGACTTTAGCGTTTTGAGTAAATGATCCTGCTTCCAATTTTGAAACACACCAGCTCTGTAATTCCAATCAATTACACATGGTGGCAGCAAACATTTTTTCTCAGACTGGTATAAAAGTGATTTTTCTCTCTCTCCCCTTTGTTTTATTGCCCATATGTTTGACATTTGCAGTACATGCAAACAGAACAAAGGCATCTACTCTGCCCTGCGTCTGGATAAAGTCTTCAACATCTCATCGTTCCTGAACACCTCAGTGGTTAGTAATCTGCACGGGCATAACATAGACTCTATAGTACATGTTGGTGGAAGTCATGTACAGAAAGTAAATAAATCCGATAAACGCAGTTACAGAACTTATAAAACTTTTATTGAACTGGGGAAGAGCTTCAAACGTGTTATAAACATGATAACATAGTTTCATGAATGAGCTTCTTTCAGCTGTCATACTGATGATCCCTTTAGTCAATTTGATTGCAAAAAATATTTTAAGAATACAAAACTGCTGCAAATTGCTAAATATTAACATAGAAGTATTAACATTTGTCCATCTAATAATATTAATCTAATCTAATAATTTGTCCATCTAATAATATTAATCAATAGCAATTCCAAGTGTATATAACATTGCTTCCCATATATATATATATATATATATATATATATATATATATATATATATATATATATATATATATATATATATATATATATATATATATATATATATATATATATAGCTGACTGGATAGCTCATAGCTGACTGGATAGCTCAATACATAAGGCATCAGTATATCACCCGAGAGGGCAGGGTTCGAATCCAGTCTGGGTCCTTAGGCAAGACCCTTCAAGCTACTGCCTACCTCATACCATGAGAGATACTAAGTTGCATAACATGCCGGCTCAGACGTCGCCCGGCCAAACAAGGTCTGCGTCAGGTGTTGGGGAACCAGAGCACCTTGATGACAAATGGGCTACTGGAACAAGACGGAAATGGGCGAGAGATGAAAATGTGGATCTGTTGGAATGCTACTACTCAAGTAACCCTAGTGAGAGAGGTTACATGCAAAGACTGGGGAAGGAATGGTTACTTCGACATCCCCAGTCAACACTAAGCGCTAAACAACTAGTAGCTCAGTGTTCCAACATCCGCAAACGGCAACTGCTATCACAACTTGAGATTGACGAGATACAACACAAATGCTACGGCAAAAGGGAGGAACCCGGATGTCAGGACTGTGGGGACTTAACTACAAGTCCCCACCCAGTGAGGGGATACACGGCCCCAATGAGCGAAACAGAGCTGAACGAGACAGCTGCTGACCTGAGAGAGAGAATCATGACCCGAATGACAACCAGGCCTCCCCGGCACCAATTACAACGGCTGAGTGAAGTACCATCAGAAAGTCTCATTGAGAATGTGAATGCAGCATTGAGAACGATCCCTACCAACACCATAACAGAAACCAATGAGCTGATCTACAACTCAGCATCAGTGATCCTTGAGATACTTGGCTATAAGAGCAACCATGAGACCCAATACCCACCATGGAAAAGACGGTTAGAGGCTAAAATCAAGGTAACAAGGAGGGAAGTGAGCCAACTGTCAGAGCTCCACAAGGGTACAATGAAAAGATCAGTACCCAGAAAGTACAGGCAGATGCCCATACCTGAAGCACTCGAGACTGCCAAACAGAGGCTCCAAGCCTTGTCCAGCCGCCTAAAGAGATACACAAGGGAGAATGAATCCAGAAGGATTAACCGGCTCTTCTCCACTCAACCAGCTAAGGTGTACTCTCAATGGCAGGGTAACAATAACAACAGAGCAGACCCACCAAGGCTGGAGACGGAACAATACTGGAAAGGCATATGGGAAAGGGAGGCGTCCCACAACAGCAATGCACAGTGGCTGATCTCTCTACGAGAGGACCACAGCAACCTCCCTGAGCAAGCCCCGGTAACCATCACTGTGACAGATGTTCAAGAAAGAGTCTCAGGTATGAAAAACTGGACAGCACCAGGGCCTGACATGATCCATGCCTACTGGCTAAAGAAACTCACTGCTCTCCATGAGCGAATGGCAGCCCAAATGAACCAGCTGCTACAAAGTGGGACTCACCCTGAATGGTTAACTGAAGGGCGGACAATCCTAATCCAGAAGGATCCATCAAAAGGTCCAGTCCCACCCAACTACCGACCAATAACCTGCCTCTCCACAACCTGGAAGCTCATGTCAGGCATCATAGCGGCCAAGATAAGCAAACACATGGATAAACACATGAGCACGGACAGAAGGGTAATCGCAAGGAGCCAAACACCACTCCTCGTAGACCGCACAGTTGCCGGACTGCAAACCCGACCACACCAACCTGTGCATGGCTTGGATTGATTACAAGAAAGCCTATGACTCAATGCCGCATACTTGGATCATTGAATGCTTAGAGATGTATAACATCAACAGGACTCTGAGAGCCTTCATTGCAACTCAATGAAGCTGTGGAAAACCACCCTTGAAGCCAACTGCAAACCACTTGCACAAGTGTCCATCAAATGTGGCATATACCAAGGAGATGCTCTGTCCCCGCTACTGTTCTGCATAGGCCTGAACCCCCTCAGCCAAATTATCAACAAGACTGGCTACGGATACAGACTCAAAAATGGGGCCAATATCAGTCACCTACTCTACATGGATGACATCAAGCTGTACGCCAAGTGTGAGCGAGACATCGACTCACTGATCCACACCACCAGGATCTACAGCACTGACATTGGGATGTCATTCGGACTAGAGAAATGTGGTCGGCTGGTCACAAAGAGGGGGAAGGTCATCCACACAGAAGGGGTCTCACTCCCAGAAGGAACAATAGCAGACATAGAGGACAGTTACTACCTAGGTATACCACAAGCAAATGGCAACCTCGATGAGGTCACAAGGAAAGGAGCCACAGCTAAATACCTCCAACGAATAAGGCAAGTCCTGAGAAGCCAGCTCAATGGCAAGAACAAAATCCGTGCGATAAACAGCTATGCCTTGCCAGTAATCAGATACCCTGCTGGAATAATTAGCTGGCCAAAGGAGGAGATAAAGCCACAGATATTAAGACCAGAAAGCTACTAACAATGCATGGAGGGTTCCATCCCAAATCCAGCACCCTGAGACTGTACACGAGCCGCAAGGAAGGAGGAGCAGAGGACTAGTGAGTGTGAGAACCACTGTCCAGGACGAAACAACTAAGATCCATAAATACATCAGGGACAAAGCCTCAACAGACAATGTGCTCAGTGAATGTCTCAGACAACAGGGAACGGAGGTTGAGGTGCCAGAGATACCATCATGGGAGGACAAGCCCTACATGGGATGTACCACCAGCAAATAACCCAAGTGGCTGATATCAGTAAATCCTACCAATGGCTGGAAAAAGCTGGACTCAAGGACAGCACAGAGGCCCTCATCTGGCCGCCCGGAACAGGCCCTAAACACCAGAGCAATAGAGGCCCAGATCTACCACACCAGACAAGACCCAAGGTGTAGGTTGTGCAAGGAGGCCCCTGAGACAATCCAGCACATCACAGCAGGGTGCAAGATACTGGCAGGGAAAGCGTACATGGAGCGACATAACCAAGTGGCAGGCATAGTGTACAGAAACATCTGTGCAGAATATGGACTGGAAACCCCAAGATCAAAGTGGGAAACACCCCCAAGGTGGTGGAGAACGCCAGAGCTAAGATCCTGTGGGACTTCCAGATCCAGACAGACAAAATGGTAATGGCGAACCAACCAGACATTGTCGTAGTGGATAAACATCAGAGGAAAGCCGTTGTGGTTGATGTAGCAATACCAAGTGATTGCAACATCAGGAAAAAGGAGCACGAGAAACTGGAGAAATACCAGGGCCTCAGGGAAGAACTGGAGAGGGCCTGGAAGGTGAAGACCACAGTGGTGCCTGTGGTCATCGGGGCCCTCGGGGCAGTAACCCCCAAACTGGAGCAGTGGCTACAACAGATCCCAGGAACAACATCAGACATCTCAGTCCAGAAATGTGCAGTCCTTGGCACAGCCAAGATACTGCGCAGAACCCTCAAGCTCCCAGGCCTCTGGTAGAGGACCCGAGCTCAGAGGATAAGAACCACCCGCGGTGGGTGAGAAGGGAATTTTTTATATATATATATATAAGACTTTATATATATATATATATATATATATATATATATATATATATATATATATATGACTGGATAGCTCAATACATAAGGCATCAGTATATCACCCGAGAGGGCAGGGTTCGAATCCAGTCTGGGTCCTTAGGCAAGACCCTTCAAGCTACTGCCTACCTCATACCATGAGAGATACTAAGTTGCATAACATGCCGGCTCAGACGTCGCCCGGCCAAACAAGGTCTGCGTCAGGTGTTGGGGAACCAGAGCACCTTGATGACAAATGGGCTACTGGAACAAGACGGAAATGGGCGAGAGATGAAAATGTGGATCTGTTGGAATGCTACTACTCAAGTAACCCTAGTCAGAGGGGTTACATGCAAAGACTGGGGAAGGAATGGTTACTTCGACATCCCCAGTCAACACTAAGCGCTAAACAACTAGTAGCTCAGTGTTCCAACATCCGCAAACGGCAACTGCTATCACAACTTGAGATTGACGAGATACAACACAAATGCTACGGCAAAAGGGAGGAACCCGGATGTCAGGACTGTGGGGACTTAACTACAAGTCCCCACCCAGTGAGGGATACACGGCCCCAATGAGCGAAACAGAGCTGAACGAGACAGCTGCTGACCTGAGAGAGAGAATCATGACCCGAATGACAACCAGGCCTCCCCGGCGCCAATTACAACGGCTGAGTGAAGTACCATCTGAAAGTCTCATTGAGAATGTGAATGCAGCATTGAGACGATCCCTACCAACACCATAACAGAAACCAATGAGCTGATCTACACTCAGCATCAGTGATCCTTGAGATACTTGGCTATAAGAGCAACCATGAGACCCAATACCCACCATGGAAAAGACGGTTAGAGGCTAAAATCAAGGTAACAAGGGAAGTGAGCCAACTGTCAGAGCTCCACAAGGTGCAATGAAAAGACCAGTACCCAGAAAGTACAGGCAGATGCCCATACCTGAAGCACTCGAGACTGCCAAACAGAGGCTCCAAGCCTTGTCCAGCCGCCTAAAGAGATACACAAGGGAGAATGAATCCAGAAGGATTAACCGGCTCTTCTCCACTCAACCAGCTAAGGTGTACTCTCAATGGCAGGGTAACAATAACAACAGAGCAGACCCACCAAGGCTGGAGACGGAACAATACTGGAAAGGCATATGGGAAAGGGAGGCGTCCCACAACAGCAATGCACAGTGGCTGATCTCTCTACGAGAGGACCACAGCAACCTCCCTGAGCAAGCCCCGGTAACCATCACTGTGACAGATGTCCAAGAAAGAGTCTCAGGTATGAAAAACTGGACAGCACCAGGGCCTGACATGATCCATGCCTACTGGCTAAAGAAACTCACTGCTCTCCATGAGCGAATGGCAGCCCAAATGAACCAGCTGCTACAAAGTGGGACTCACCCTGAATGGTTAACTGAAGGGCGGACAATCCTAATCCAGAAGGATCCATCAAAGGGTCCAGTCCCACCCAACTACCGACCAATAACCTGCCTCTCCACAACCTGGAAGCTCATGTCAGGCATCATAGCGGCCAAGATAAGCAAACACATGGATAAACACAGCACGGCACAGAAGGGTATCAGTGTAATAGCAGAGGAGCCAAACACCAACTCCTCGTAGACCGCACAGTTGCCCGAGACTGCAAAACCCGACACACGAACCTGTGCATGGCTTGGATTGATTACAAGAAAGCCTATGACTCAATGCCGCATACTTGGATCATTGAATGCTTAGAGATGTATAACATCAACAGGACTCTGAGAGCCTTCATTGCAAACTCGATGAGGCTGTGGAAAACCACCCTTGAAGCCAACTGCAAACCACTTGCACAAGTGTCCATCAAATGTGGCATATACCAAGGAGATGCTCTGTCCCCGCTACTGTTCTGCATAGGCCTGAACCCCCTCAGCCAAGTTATCAACAAGACTGGCTACGGATACAGACTCAAAAATGGGGCCAATATCAGTCACCTACTCTACATGGATGACATCAAGCTGTACGCCAAGTGTGAGCGAGACATCGACTCACTGATCCACACCACCAGGATCTACAGCACTGACTTGGGATGTCATTCGGACTAGAGAAATGTGGTCGGCTGGTCACAAAGAGGGGGAAGGTCATCCACACAGAAGGGGTCTCACTCCCAGAAGGAACAATAGCAGACATAGAGGACAGTTACAAGTACCTAGGTATACCACAAGCAAATGGCAACCTCGATGAGGTCACAAGGAAAGGAGCCACAGCTAATACCTCCAACGAATAAGGCAAGTCCTGAGAAGCCAGCTCAATGGCAAGAACAAAATCCGTGCGATAAACAGCTATGCCTTGCCAGTAATCAGATACCCTGCTGGAATAATTAGCTGGCCAAAGGAGGAGATAAAAGCCACAGATATTAAGACCAGAAAGCTACTAACAATGCATGGAGGGTTCCATCCCAAATCCAGCACCCTGAGACTGTACACGAGCCGCAAGGAAGGAGGCAGAGGACTAGTGAGTGTGAGAACCACTGTCCAGGACGAAACAACTAAGATCCATAAATACATCAGGGACAAAGCCTCAACAGACAATGTGCTCAGTGAATGTCTCAGACAACAGGGAACGGAGGTTGAGGTGCCAGAGATACCATCATGGGAGGACAAACCCCTACATGGGATGTACCACCAGCAAATAACCCAAGTGGCTGATATAAGTAAATCCTACCAATGGCTGGAAAAAGCTGGACTCAAGGACAGCACAGAGGCCCTCATCCTGGCCGCCCAGGAACAGGCCCTAAACACCAGAGCAATAGAGGCCCAGATCTACCACACCAGACAAGACCCAAGGTGTAGGTTGTGCAAGGAGGCCCCTGAGACAGTCCAGCACATCACAGCAGGGTGCAAGATACTGGCAGGGAAAGCGTACATGGAGCGACATAACCAAGTGGCAGGCATTGTGTACAGAACATCTGTGCAGAATATGGACTGGAAACCCCGAGATCAAAGTGGGAAACACCCCCAAAGGTGGTGGAGAACACCAGAGCTAAGATCCTGTGGGACTTCCAGATCCAGACAGACAAAATGGTAATGGCGAACCAACCAGACATTGTCGTAGTGGATAAACATCAGAGGAAAGCCGTTGTGGTAGATGTAGCAATACCAAGTGATTGCAACATCAGGAAAAAGGAGCACGAGAAACTAGAGAAATACCAGGGCCTCAGGGAAGAACTGGAGAGGGCCTGGAAGGTGAAGACCACAGTGGTGCCTGTGGTCATCGGGGCCCTCGGGGCAGTAACCCCCAAACTGGAGCAGTGGCTACAACAGATCCCAGGAACAACATCAGACATCTCAGTCCAGAAATGTGCAGTCCTTGGCACAGCCAAGATACTGCGCAGGACCCTCAAGCTCCCAGGCCTCTGGTAGAGGACCCGAGCTCAGAGGATAAGAACCACCCGCGGTGGGTGAGAAGGGAATTTTTTTATATATATATATATATATATATATATATATATATATATATATATATATATATATATATATATATATATATATATATATATATATATGGCTATTTGGGAAAACCAGTGTCGTTATTACCCAATCAGACTTTTTGTCCACATTATCAAATCAAATCATGAACATTGACATTTCTATGGATATCAATAATATAGTCATATTTGATTAATAAAATGCAATAGTCTTATATGAAACAATTTAAACTTCTCATCATTTTATGTTGTCTATCATAAACGGTGTTTTTGATGTGGAGAGTAACGCCTTAATAAAAAGTTAAGATAATACCATCATCTTCCTTCTTTCTAAACTTGAATATAGTGTTGCTATTTGGTGAATAGTCTCTTCATTTTTGATTGAACTCTAAAACAACATTCATGTTAGCCCACTGAAGAAAACAAACACCCAGTAAAAACATATGGCTAACATTTTTACTTTTCTGGAAAATCCAAAACTTTTGACGTGCCCATACAGTTATCCTAGAAACTGGTTTACTGTCCCAATGTGTTTTTTTGTTCTCTTTATAGTTGCGCAAAAAACATCTTTCTTGGCTGGCAAAGCAGGCATTTTTTGGTCAAGGCATTCTTTTTCAAATTTTTTCCTACAAAGACATGTCTGAGAATGATGACTGTGGTTTACAGAAGACCTCAAAATAAAAGAAGACCTAATAAAGTCTTTTGTAGTTTCTCCTATAATCCACTTAGTCTTGGTGCAAACAGGGACAGATTCTTTTTTATAGCACAAATGGAAAGCAAGAGATTCTCAAGTAAATACCAAAGTATATATATTTGGTGTGGACTTTCACTAGGCCACTCTACAACATTCACCTGGTTGTCTTTGAACCATTTCTGTGTAGCTTTAGCTTAGTGCTTCAGGTCGTTGTGTTGCTGGAAAATAAATGTTCTCTAAAGTCATAGTTCTCTGGTAGATGGAAACTAATTGTCCTGTAGGCTTTCCTAATATTTTGCTGTAATCATTTTACCACTTCAACCCTTCCTGGGCCTGTCACTGGCTCTGGAAGGCTTGTAGACAGCATGTAGCATAGCATGCTGCCACATTGTTACAGACATCTGCCCTGTTTAGAAAGAAGATTTTGACCTGTAAATGTGAAAGTTGAGTTGTTCAGGGTTTATATTCTCATCCAAACTTCTGTTTACAGTTCACTAAGGATGTGGTGCGTCAGCTGGAGAACTTTCAGATTGATCTGAGAGCGATAATCCTTTTAGAAGCAGAGGGGAAGCAGAACCTCCTAGATTTCTCTGAAGCTGGCCTATCAGAGATCAACTATGCTGACTACCTTGACGAGGTGACATATGCTGTGATTGTAGAAACACATGAACAGGAGAAAAGCATGTTTTCAGTGGATGGTTTTGAATAGTTTTTATTTTTGCGTTTTGATGTATAAATTGTTGCAATTGTGAAATCATGTCTGTGAAAAAATAGATTTAAATTATTTAATAATTGACTTATTAGGTTTATCAACACCTAAATCAGTTAACAAGCTTCAGGCAGAGTTCTGCAAAGGACTGCTAAAGCTAAGTTATCCAATAAGGGTCCAATCCAGGCCAAAGGTGTGAAGGTGTGGGCTAGAACTTGACATTTGCTCTTTTCATCAATCAATCAGCTTCACTTTAAAGACCTGAGACTGAGAGCAAAAACGTAATTATCCTTCAGACTGAATCTACAAGCAGATGTGTGAAATCTTTAGTTTAACTTTCATTCTCTCAGTCAGAAGCCTCCGATTTCTGAGTTTGTACAAGGAAACGAGAGATTTGGTCTTATTCAGTTTGGGTTAAGGTGAGCTAAAAGCCTTAGCTGAAGAAAAACACAATAAATTACAATCCCATGTTTTTTCTGTACATAGATTTGAAGAATAACTGCAATTATTTCAAAATTTGTGAGCAATTTAAGTTGAATGTTTTGTAAAGCTTTGACCTGCATGTTGGTGGCAAATTAGGAACAACTATGTCTGAACGTATTAAATGCAGGATTCAAGAATTTACTTTAAGAGTTTCTGCTCATAGCAGTCATTAATTATGTAAGGGACAGGGGGAAATTGTTCTAATCAAATATGCCTGAAGAAAATCACTGTATAAACTATAAATCCTTCCCTGCATTATCAATACTTACATGTGTAAGAGATTACTTTCTATTTAATAAATGTGTGTGCATCCATCCAAGCTCAGTGTTTGTGTTACTGACTTCTTTGTCTGCTTAAGGTGAATAAAGGAGTCACTGTGGTGGATGTTCTGTCATTCGCCAAAGAGCTGGAGTCCCAGACAGACCTGATGGTGAGGAAGCTGATCTGCCTTCATTAGCTGTTGCACCAACATTCACATTGTGGAGTTTCTTATTATTTCATCTCTGCACAAGAGATTATTTTAATGCATCTGTTTTCTCAAATTGTGATGGAGAATGATTTTTTTAAATAATTTTTTTTTTAACTGATGCTGCTACACAGACACTGGTGTTATTTCATGCAGAATGATTGTGTTGGCAAAAACAAAATCTTTGTGCACTTTCAAATGCAAAAACAAAATGTAATTATTTAAAAGTTGGCAGTTTGATAAACTGGAAAAAATGTGTTTTTAAGAAAAAGATTACATTTATAAACCATTTGATTCTTTCCTGATGTATGATGAGCTAAAACATGCTTTGTTTTCTGTTACGTGACCCAAAGTTTAAGAAATGTCTGGGCAGCAGGAATCTCACAAATGCAGTCTTTTGTTTCTTCCTCTTCTTTTGGAATAAAACTCGACTTGTTTTGTCTCCTTCTCCAGCCCAGGGGACCTCTGCAGACAGCTCTGAAGGGCCATGTGGCCACTCTGCAGCGGGTCCACAGACAACAGATCGCTCCAATGGAGCAGGCCATGGTAATCCCCACTGCGTGTCCCATATACTTTTGGCAAAACTTGGTTTCAACCGGATCTGCAGTTATCCACCCTAAACACATAAAAACAAAACAAAAATGATGACATACACTTTCAATATGTAATGGAATAAATTTATGACAAATACAGTTAATATTAGAAGAAAACAAGTAATTCTCTCACTTGCACCAAACAATGAAGACCTAAATACCGTAGACTCATGTAGATGTTGTATTGGAACTGGACATAAACAATTAAATTGTTTTAGATTGATTTAATAATATATTTATTTTTATGAATTGCTTTGTATCTTGTAAATAACCTTGAGATGATATTTGCATTTAATTGGTGCTGCAGAAATTAGTAAAACTGACCTTTGCACTTTGGCATTTTATGTTTGTTGCCTTAGTTTGTAATGGTCATTTCACTTTTTCACCATTTTGTATTTTTCCCATTGCTGTCGTTTCATAGCAGCTTTCTTGCCTGAGAAAGAAATTCCCACTTTACATTTTGTGCTGATTTTACATCCATCTGCTTTAGAAACTCATTGTTTCTGCTTTTATAACCAATAATTTTAAGTAATTATTCAATGATAAAAGTCTACAGTATAGAGGTTTGATTATAAAAAAATGTTGCTTTGTCTGCTGTTCTGTAAAATAAAATAGCACTTGTTGCCCTCGGGCTTGTGTCAGAACACATTAAATATGAAATATTCAGCTTTATATTATTTTCACTCTGTCAGATATCATCTAGGACAAACAGATGCAACCATTGTTGGCTCTCAACACAACATTTATTTATGTTTTGTTGTTTTGTTTTTCTCTGTTCACCATCAAGAAATATGTTAGAGCAAGGGTAAGCACAAGTCTATGATATGATATGCATTAACTGTGTTATTACCTGGAGCTTAAAACAAACAACCCATCTATGAGATGTTCTTTTGTTGCAGAGACACTTTTTATTGTTGTTTTCACAAACTTGTAGTTTATATCAAAAGTATTTGTGCCAAAATAGTGCAAAATATCCACATGAAGAGAATAAATGTTTGGGTTTTTTTGGACAAAATAAAGGGACAGTCCTTATTTGTTTTATGTTGTGTATGTGATTATGTCTTTGCATTGTGGATATTTGATTTTGGAACAAAATCCTCCAGCATGCCAAAAATTTAATTAATGACACTCATTGTATTTGTGTTGCTCTCAGTTTTCTGTTGGTCTTTAACTTCTGAAAATAATATATTATTTTTTGTTTTTTTCTCAGAGTGCATTGAACCAGAGTATGAGATTCCTGGAGAGGACAGCTTCTGACCTCCCGGTAAATAAACCGCTACCAAAAATCAAATTTACGGTCACATTGGTACTGACAAGTTTGTCTTTACAGAACAAAGTCACAGATGTTCTTGAGACCATTGAAGCTGCTCAGCACCTCATCTCCCAGAATGCAACACTTTTAATCAATCAGGTAAATGTATCTGTTTGCTTAATCTCAGTTTTGTGATTGTGTTAAACTAACAGCTGTTCTCTAATTTCCTACAGGAAACAAGAAAATACTCAGCAACCATTATTGGCTATTTCAATCAGTACATAGAATGGGTCAAAACATCAGTAAGTGTTTATGTACCATTTTCATATTATGTAAATGTAATGTTTTATGCATTATTTTGTTCATGGTTAGTTAAAGGATTTTCTGCAGCCTGAGTTATGAAAAAAGCTCAATATTATACAGTGGAAAACAAAAAACTTGCATAACAGTTTTTGGGGTAAATATAGAGAGGACAAATATAAAAGCTACAGCTCCTTTAAATCTGAGGAATTTACTTTGAGGCATGATGGTTTCTGCTGCAGTGAAGCCAAAGGAATTCAAACCAAAGTGAAAAATAAGATATTTTAGCTCTGATTCTCATATATGTCAATAAAACTTTTTTTTGTTTCAGTCTCAATGTTGTTGTTCAGGAACAGTCAGAGCTGGATGTGTTGTGCCACAGTTAAGAAACTTTGTGTTTACTGGAAGTACCGCGGTGTGATAACATTTCCTGTTTATATCCTTTGTAGTTGGCTTTGGAGGTTGCACCATGCAAGCCCTTCAGCAACATCTTGGACACGGCGCAGATCATGACCTGCAGTTTCCTGGTGGATTCTATGGTAACAATGGCAATAATGAAAATAGATTCCACCTAATCAAACTTTATGCAGATCTCTGTGTTTCAGTGCAGAAGTTTAGGTTTAATGCTTTAACCCCCCCAAGGGCCAAGTGAAACAAATCTAGTTGTGCAGCAGTGTTATCACTCGCCCAAAGGGAATGAGGTCAATATCGAAATTCTATGTCTGTAAGTCAAAGCCAAATTAAAAGCAGCAGTTCTGATGCATTTCAAAAGTAGCCACACCCCTTTAACTTTTCCACATTACAACTATAAACTTCAGTGCATTTTAATGTGATTTTAAGTGATTACTACAACGAGGTGCACAATTTTGAAGTGGAAGGAAAATGATTCATGGTTTATAAAATGTTTTATTGTCTTTACAAATAAACATGAAAAGCTTAGGAGGTATAAATACTTTACAAGGCAATAATAACTTTATATAACTTTATAACTTTAATAACTTTATATAAATTTATGAGAAATATAATTCTTTAAATTATCTTTTCAACAGAACACTTTCTGGATGGGTTTGGGCTGCAGCACACTGTTCTTGCTCCCAAGCGTAATACTAGCTGTGAAACTAGCCAAGTACTACCGCAGGATGGACACAGAGGATGTTTATGATGAGTGAGTTATTGCATTTATTTTTCTTCTCTCATGTTTTTATTGTATCTATTATTACTATAAAGCTGCAATTTTAGTTCTGTTATGGCTCTATTAGATCTAAATTAGTGCACATATATTTTAAATATTTGATGGTTGCAGGACATCCTTCTATCTTTTAGGCTTTTCTTTTGTGTGTCTGAATTTAATTGGTTATTTTTCTGGTTTGCCTTAAAATGGGTTCTTAAACAGTTCTAAAACTGTTCTGTACTACTGAACTTTCCTATTTCAATTTATTTTCTGCTCCCTTTTCTCTTCCCTTAAGCTCCTCTGTTTCTGGGACCTGGCATTTTACCTTGTGATAACCATTCCTACTATTTCCATCTTCCATATTTTTTATTTTATTTCTTCATTCTTCTTTGTCAAGCACTTGGCACTTTACAAAGAAAAGACACTGATAAATTAGTTAATTCTTATTTCTTCTTCATGGGCCTTTTTTCATGTTCAGACTCTGTGAACTCATTGCTTTATCTACAGTAGTAGTAATTGTAATATCTCAGCTGATCAACTGCATCTCCCTCTGTGCAGTCAGTGCTGGATTGCACAGAAGGACTTTTGATGCATTTCTTTTACTGAAAATCTCAATAACATTTTTATGTTCCTGTTTTCTGTGTATCTCCATAGCGTTGAGACAATTCCCATGAAAAAGTAAGATGTTCTTCCCCAACATCCTTTTCATTTTAACTTCTCTCACTCTGTGCTTTTTTTTCTAAGTAATGTATATAGAAAGCTGTTTACTAAATTCTTGGTGCTCGTTTGCATTTTTGCTCATGTGGGTGGGCGATGTGGCTTTTTGTCATGTGCTATGTTTAAGAAGTGCCCCTTACAGTACCTTTCATGAAGGGCTCTTGCAATCATTAAAGTGTTTTTTGTAAAAAAAAAATATATATATATATATATATATATTGTGTAAATAAAACACTAAGGTTTATACTCAGAACATATTCATCTCCTGATATTGTTTAAAGATTCATCCACATATAAAGGAAAACAAAGAAAACATTTTATTCAGCATGTCGCATTTCTCATTTTTCATTCCATTTTTCTTCACAATGTTTTATTTTCAGTATGGAAATTGGTAATAATGGTTATCATAGTGAGAGTTCACAAGGTATTCCTAATCCTATGATGACAAGGTAAATTTTCCATTTATCCTGCTGACTGCATGTCATGGTGGAGGTGGATGCATGCCTGGGAAGTTGGTTTTATATATAATATGGCTGAACACAGTGCATGCTTTCAGAGGGAGTCATTTCAAGATGCACACATGCATAAGTAGGTGTGATATTATAGCAGACCTTTAAACTGGCAAGTTGTGGTAGCTTTTATTAGAAACAATCCAGAATCAGTTTTTTGATCTATGATAAAAAGTGCTTTAAAATGAATTTCAGCAGTGGTTTAACATTTGGGGTGAAATGTGGGATTTGCTGATGAACATCAGATCATAGCCCTGCTGTTTTCTTTGGGGATGAAATATGGAGCAGAATAAAGAACAATTTGTGTTAGTCAACTTGAAGACTGGGGATTATTGGAAAACAAATACTAATAAAGGTTTGTCTTAGAGAGTATCTAAAGCTAGTACACATAAATCTTTTAAAAGTGCCATTTGCACAATCAATATTTTAAATATCACAACTTAAAGAAATGTAACTGCAATTTATATTTAGTCAAAATATTTGCTTAACACAGTAAGCAAAGGTAAACTACAGGTGAGTATTAGAAAATAAGAGCTGAAACATCTTAATAGAGAAAAAGAAGGAGCTCATTTTGTTACTATATATCAAAAATTACAGTCTTTACTCTGAGGAAAGCTGTACCCTTATTTAAACTCATCAAAGAGAAATGAGGGTGTCAGTTTCCAATAATCATTCTGACTCTTCCACCTCCCAACATTGATGTTGGAAGGCTGATGAATCTGTCTGCTACCACTACTTCACTGTCATGTTGTAAATGTTCTGCTTGGTGGTTTTGGGGGAATCTATCGTATTACTAACCAACTGCTTTCTTTCTGATGCTGGGAAATTCCTGTGGAATGAAATGAAACCTTCTCCTGTTTCCTCTCGTTTAGTGTCGGCCAAAATCCGATGAATGTACACCTGATCATTTTGTTCAGAGAGAGGCAAGCATGTTAAGCTTTCGTGTGTCCCTGGATATGATGCTACTTTTGATTTTCTTTTCTGACTCTAACCAGATGTCTTTTTAAGTTGCATTTGGATGCAGATGAGTTGGCACAATCCAACAAGATAAACACAGAGAGTAAAACATCTCAATGAGGGGTTGCTCTGACTTGTTGCAGTTTGAAAAAATATGAGTTTCATTTCCAGTTTGAACTTGCAAGATTAATGCAACTTTTTGTTAAACCTTATCTTTCTATTTGAGTTGCATTAAGCTTTTGGAATGAAACTCGTGCATCAATAGGAGTATTACATAAGTTAATTCGCATAGTTTAGTTGATCAACAATAAATGACTCTGTTTGCACAGTAAGCTACTCAGAGACTGTTTTGCTCTCTGTTGTATGAAGTGCTCACCCTTCTCCTCTTGCCATCAAAAGGAAGTGAATGTGAAATGTTGAGTCTGTCTGGTAACGTTTTTCCATGTGTGCGTGTTTGTTCCTGTGATGGTAGCGTCCCAACATATGACACAATGAACAGGTTTCCCCGGGCCTCGGCTCCTCCGAGGCACATCGACTGGTGAGAGTCAGCTCTCGCTTGGCTCCAGAAAGGTACTGGTAACACAAAACGACGACTCTGTCTCTCTAACACCGATTTCCTCACACCTCTCCTCACAGCCGTCCTGCTGAGTCAGCGATCATCTGTTTTAAATCTTATATTGCTAATGTGGTAACACTCTTAACACCTGTTCACAGCTTGTTTTAGTGCTTTTTCTGCTTGCTGAAATGCCATCATGGTGAGAATGACTAAATTTACTGTAGATGCTCATGACTCTCAGTGTTTTAGAGAGAAGAAACCTTCAATTTTATGTTGATTTATATTTAGGATAATATCCTGCAGTTTAGAAAACATTCTCTGATGTGTCTACTAGCCTCTTGTGAGTGGTTGTGTTCAGTTAGTGCATGAGCGATGTGAAACCCTTTTATATGTAGTTATCTCCACCTAACAGCACCTTCCACCTTGAATGAAATCACTTTGTGTAACGCCTTAAAAATATTTTCAGTCTAATATGTCTTACAGCAGCATCATCTCACAATAACAATAATAAAAAATTTTAAAAATCCGACCTTTAGTCCTCTCAGGCTCAAATTACTTGCAAAGACTAGCTAAGTAGCATTTAGCTGTTGCAAATCTGCAACATCTGCCTGGAGAGGGTTAATTTGAGTACATTTGAGAAATGCTACAGCATTGTTGTTTTCTTTTAGATTATTGCAACTACCTTTATAGACCTTTTACATGTTTTCAGAAGAGCCACCAATCGATTAGCTTTGATGGGATTATTTGGTGAAATGCAGATTCGACCAACTCTGGATTTTGTGAAGATCTCTGCAGTCTCAGAGTCACAGAGCCTGCACTACATTACAAATATTTATTAAGAATCTAAGGAACTGCAATAAAATCTTAACTTATTTTAGGGATATTTCTGTTTTGAAATATTTTTCTTGCGTCGTGATATCTAAAGTATCTTTCTCTGTTTTTTGTCCTTGCAGTGCCCTTGACAACTGGAACTAAACATCATGGTAATGTTTTATTGTGTTTTTCATGTTTCAGGTTGCAGGTATTTGATTAAATGTGCAGCTCTAATAATTGAATGAGTTTCATCTGACATATCAATACACAGGATTACACAGAGCCACTGTCATTAAATCTAATTTAGTCTTAGATTTTGCAGCATTACATTTGGAAAGTAGCTTTTTGTCTTGATGATAACATCTGACTGAGGTCATTTCTATTGATTACAAGTAAGATAATTCCCTCTCTTTGAAACTTCGTTCTGATGTATTAAGGTGAAAGTGAATTGATTGGGCTTTGTGTTCCCAGGCTTTGTGTTAACACACTAGTTTAAAAAATGGACAATTTGGAGATCCACTTCTCTAGCAACACGCTAGCATCTCCAACTGTAATGAGTTGTTTTTCATTTCTCAGACATCATGTGGAAAGACACATCCCGTTTGTTTAAGAAAGGTCAAATTATTGGCAGTAAGCAGAGAATAAAACTGATGAAATTACAGAATTAGGTTAAATGTCGAATGAATATTTATAAACCTGAAGAACAGTAAGGAACCATCGTTTTCAGGAAGAAATGTGGTCTGTTAAGAATCCTGAATGATTATGATTAGGGATCTGATTAGGAATTTAAACATAGGAGTTAAATATTTGTTAACATTAAACAGAAGAAAAACAACAGAATAACTTAAGTGTAAGTAAAAGTAAGAGCATTTCTACACACAGTGTGAAGGGGACTCGCACTGTGGCTTTGGGCCTGAACAGCTGTGCAGAAGTTAGAAAACCTCTAATCAGTGAGGCCGACTAGAGAAAAAGCTTCAGTTTGCCAGGGAGCATAATGTTTGAGTTCTGGAGCAATACAATAAGATCAAGTTATATTATTAGTTGGCAGCACTCCTCCATCATCAAACCAAGATCAGGGTTAAAAATGTATGTAATTCTGGTTATGAATAAATCTTGTGGCATTGCAAAAGCTTATTGTGACCTTTTTTTATTTGGTTACCAACTTGTTTTTGGCCAGGCAGTATATTTACAAAAACGTATTCACAATTTATCAGTTAACAAAATGTTCTTTTCTATTTATTGTAGCTCACTTGATGAACTTCAACATATTGCTGGTTTCTTCACTTCAAAAGAAGAACAAGGAAGGTGCTTGTTCAATGATGCAGATCAAATTCTCCAGTTTGGTTTCTGCCGGCAGGACGCTAACCTTATCAGCCCTCAGCATCAATCTGAGCCGGGTTTCATCTACATTTTCCAGGACTGCTGCTGTGTCTGTGTTTACATTTGTTTGGACACAAAACCAAGTTGAAAAAGCCCTTGAGAGGACATAACATTGACTGTTGTGTTTGCTCATTTTTATGAACTTTGTGCTCAAGAAAAGAGAAGCTGGAGAAAGTTATATTTTCTTCAGTTAAAAAGGGTGTTGCACTTTCAAAGTGAGTGTCAAAAGGCAGGTTTCATAAAGATCTGATTGTTTTGTTGAAAAAATGCATCCTTTTTAACTGAGACACAAGTGTGTGATATTTTACCAGTTGAGAAAAGGCTTGTGTGAACATAACAACTTGTGGAGAGAATTTGTAAGAAAACGAAGCATGACTATTTTTTTTTCTTAAGTTGTTTACAATATTTCCAGACATGTTGGTTTTGTTGATTTTAGGTGGCTATGGGTCAATTTTCCTCTTTGACAATTCAAAACCTCATTCAAATGTAGGCATTTTGTCCCCAAATTCTTCCATTTCTTACCTGTAAAACACACAACTTGTATCTTCTTGATCAAATCTCAGGAATAGTTTAATAAATAAAATACAATTTTATTTCTTAAAAAAATTATATTGCACCTTTTTTTATTGGTTTTGACTCATATCTGCTTGGACCGGTCTCATTGCAGTCCCATGACAAAAAAGATGTTTTTACAGTAGAAGCAAAACACCAAAAATAACATCAAGTCAATGGTCAAATTGGGTACAAAATGTCCCCTGACTGAATTTTGGTATGCAACATCCAGTGACAAATGTTATATAATAACAACAGATGTTGCTATTGTTGGTATGCAACAACTATTCAGTGAAAATGGCAAAACTGGAAAAGTATGAAATGGCAAAAGCGCAACATGACCCATCTGTATGCAAGAAACACTGAAGAGGACTCTTCCTTTGAGATGTTTTACCATGACGTTGCAGTTAAAAAAGCCCATATCACTTTGTTAAATTTAAAAAATTTAGGAAATGCCCTTTCTGTACCATTTAAACTTGTGTCAGGTGTTAACATTTGCCATTTATTTGTAAGTCAGAGTGGTAAATTGTTCTAAAGTGATTCTTCTACTTGGAGTTTTAAACACCAAATTTCAGAATTATTTTGAATAGTGGGTTTAGAAAAAAACACAAATTCTTGAAGCCAGGGACACATGACCAGTCATTTTCCTTTGTTATGGTAAAAAAAAAAAAAAAAATCCCCATCACAACCACACTGTAACACCAAATGACAAATTTGTACCAAATGCATAACCGATGTGTTTTGGTTGAACTATCCATTTAAATAATACAGTACAGTTGGAGAATAATAGTAAAAATAACATCAACTTCTATTTCCTCTACGTACCACATGTGTTCATTTTCAGGTCTTTCCTGCTTTATGGTACTCATAATTTTAAAGTGGAATGTTAACTCTCAAGCCAAATCCCATATTTTTAAATTGTCTTTCTCTTGCACGCTTTTTGCCCTTTGCCTGCTTTTTTGTTAAACAATATTTCTGAATACATAGAACTTTTGAATGTGTTCATTCAATAATCATTGCTTTATGTAGAGGCTGAGTGGGAAATATGCTGATATTGTTACATCAGGGAGGCCAATCAACATATCCTATATGTCATATTTCTATACAGATGCTTTCTCCAGTGAGAGCTTAGACAATCCATTTATGGGACGAATGAGCACCATCAATCAGATTGTTGAAAAGAAGGATTTTTCATGGTTTACACAGATCTGGTTTATGTGGACTGTGAAAAAAGCAATACCTGCCTTAGCAACCAAAATCTGGATTTTTTTCATCACTGTAAATGCACAATAACTATAAACATTTACCAGGTAGTAGATTATGCAATATCCATATATAAAGGTTAACAAAAGTCAGTTTTTATGTGAATCAAAAAAAAAAAAAATTTTAACTGTAATAGGAAAAGGTGGTCTAAATTTAATACTTTATCCATAATTGTTATATTACATTTGTTTTATACTCCAACAAATCCATTTTAGATCCAAGTTTGCAATTGTTTTTAAAAGACAAAGTCCATGGGCTTGAATAAAAAAATAAACAATGTGTCAGTTAAGACGTCGCTAAAGAGAATACTAACATTTAACAACTTTTAATTAGATTACCATGACAAGGATTAAAAATTAACCCACTTTTGTAGATTTTTGTGCACATCTGACTTCTATAAAGCTAATAACTGTAATTTGCAGTCAAAGTACTGAAAATATTTACCAACAGTTTACAAGTTTTGCTGTGCTACAATGACTTTACACACTATTTTTATTAATTTTATTTCTCCAAAGGAAATACTGTTTACCATATTAAAATGTCCCAGCTGTGCTTTTCCATAATGTGAACTCTGTTTCCTCCCAGTGCTCTCTTTTTTTGCTTGCTTCATTTACAAACATAGTTTTCCTCAAGGTGGACATTTTTAGATGATCGCTGTGCTCATGTTGACTATCACAGTTTTACTCCTTGCTGGAGTATGGTAATGCATTTATGGGGACAAATTCACAACTTAAGTGCTTAAATTAGGTATATATGATAGCTTTGTGTTGATCAGATGAATGGGTGGCTGGTTTGAAATGTGATGCTGAGCAGTTGGATGATGGATCCAGGAAGATGCTTGTTTTTTATGTGGATATGACAAAAGTGTATAAATTGTGAATAAACTCTCCATTTCAAGTTATTTTCACTTCTAATCTTTCTTTACCCTTTTTCAGCATGTTCTGTATTTTGGGGTAACAATATTTTTGACATTTTATGGAAAAGAAAGTAATTTGTCAGTTTTTCTATTTTACTGTGAGGCAAAACATGGAATGTATAATTCTGAGGGCCAAAAAAAAGAAAATATGTTGAAATTAATATAAATTTGATGCTAACTGGGAACTGTATGTAACATTGGAGCAGATGGTTTTGCACCCCTTAGACTATGCACATTCCAACTTGTACTGCCAAGCCAGAACCCTGTGGGTAGCATTACCGGTCAGCTATTTCAATAAGACATTATTATCCTCTTCCATAAGCTTGGCTTCAAAGTTTTCTCAGGCACCAAGCAGGATGCAAATAAACACTCCAAGAAAAACCACACACAGACTTTTTTCTGTCTGAAAACCAGTCAAAAACAGAGGCCGACTTTGAGAAAACTGACTTTATTCATGGTATTTACTGAAACACTGAACATTGTGTGGGTGTTTCAGTTAATTTAAAAGTTTTATCTAATTTCTCAAAATGTTGCAACTTTCTGGATTTATATGTAATTATGATTTACAGTTAAATGTTCTGTATCACATGAGTCAGAATCACATCGTACTTGGTAATTACAGTTAAAGTAGGTTGTAAACTTTGCCCTTTTGGGATGTTATTAGTTCAAACACTGGGTTCCTTCACTTTGTTCTAAAACAACTTAATTTAACTTTGAAGATGATGAACACAAATCATTGCATTTCTGATCCAGTTAAAATACATTACATCAAATTTAGCTCTCTGTTTTGTTTAATTCTTGCAAAAAATTACAATTGTTTTGGTCAAAACATTAATCTCATATTAGACCCTGTGTGCCATGACCGTGTACTTCATCCTTCCCTCCTATTTTGTACATTTCCTTGTGCTTTCTTAATTGGCATGGCCATTACTGCCTCCTTTTTCAGTCTTATCCCTGCAATTGTGTACTCATGTTTCTCTGTGGCACTGTCCTGGGTTTATGTTTAGAGGGAAATGATAGGTTACCCTGCACAGTTATGAGCCTTAACTGCCACTTAAAGTAAACAAGAGAGGTTCAGCTTTCTTGTTTCTATCAGATTTCACATTTCTACTTAAAATCTATCAAATTGGAAACTGTGACAATATGTGGTTATGAGTGCATTAGGGCGCATTAATCCAGTGTGAAACTGACCTATAAAGTTTTAAAGTCAGTAAATGTTGGAAAAAAAAAAAAAAAAGATTTCTTCATCTCGGTCAGTTGTTTCTTTTATGTGAAACAATCAAACATGAGAATCCATGTTGCTTCTTAGTGGGCTTTACATATATTTCAGCAGGAACTAACGTGGCTTTCCCCTCCTCCACCCATATAACCACTTTTTCTTAGTCTGACTCATTTTTTGTTCCCTAAACTTACTGTGTGTCTGCTTGGCCAATAAATACCCAGAGGAAGCCTCAGCTCAGGCAGTTCCACTCTCATCCTGCTCTCGGCAGCTATCTGGCACCATGTGGACCCAAGCCACTGCTCTGCTGCTGGCCTGCTGCCTTTGGCCAGCTGAGGCACAGGACGAAAGGAGACAAAGCATCTGGGACGATCCCATCAAGTTCCAAACCAAGGCTAAGGACAAGTGCACCATGATCCTTACAGGCCAAGGAGAAAACATAAAGCTGAGGCTGTCATGCCAGGGCAACAGACGTGCCTACTGGTGTGAGTATGTGGGGAAACCTTACACCTGCAGTGCTTTCAACAAAAACCCCAGGCACTACTTCGTCCAGATGATGTGGGTCCTCAGGAAGCAAGCACACGCCTGTCAGGGTCCAAGGGAGATCAAACCTCACATGTGCAGGAAGGCGACTGATGAATCTCAGATGATCTTCTCGGCCGGTCCTTTCCTAAGGTCTCGGCCAGCAGCGCAGCCATCAAAGCAGCCATCAAAGCAGCCATCAAAGCAGCCTGGAAAACCCCAAAGTTCATCTGCACATGGAAGACCTAATTTGACAATGAAGACACCTTTTAAAACAGCTCGGGCTTCAGGGATAGTTAAAACCACACAGAGAGCCAAATCACAGCCGACGGCAGCTCCGACAGAGAACGCCCGGAGGACAATGGCTCGGCAGTACTGCTGGAGGTCCCTGCAGGGCGTCTGTTCCTTTGTAATTGGTTGGTTTCGGAATTAACAAAAAAGGTGAGCAGCAGAAATTCAGGATTTATATCTTTTTAAGCTATAAACCTTTATTACACAAGTATAATCCTGTGTAATCTTGTTTGCTTAAATGTTTTTTCTTTCAACAGTGATTCATACTGATCAGGATTGTATATCTTCCTCTGCATACAGATTGTGCTGAATTGGTGACTGAAACCACCAGATGAGGAAAAATCCAGGCCAGCTATTTGTTTTGAAACATCTTTAGCGCCCTCTTACGGAATTATCTTGGTACTACAGTGGCTGTTACATTTTTATTTCTCTAATTTTAGATGCTACATTTTTTTTGGAAACCTTGAGCAGCTTCTTTTATGTTTTGCATGAAGTAGACCTGTATGAATTAGAACTGCTTTAACCTGTGAAAAGATAGGATAGATGTTTGTGTTTTTTTGTGATATTTACTATAATTAGCTTGAATATTGTTTTGCAGCGATCAGAATTTATGTTTGAAAAAAAACTCTCTCTCTACTGGTATTTTTTGAAAAATATATATGGACTGTGAATATGCTTTTAAATGTCAAATAAACACCATAAGTTAAACAATTCTTGTCCATCTGCTTTATTTTCAGTGGTACCATGTGAAATTTTGAACTGGAAAAAAAATTGTAAATATAATAGGACAGGTTGTGAAGGGAGGGGAAATTTTTTTATACAACAAGTATATGATGCATCATGAAGCTTACAGATATCTCAGTGTTTTTTTTTTCTTACTTAATAAGCAGGACACTGTTTCTTTCACACCTATGAACATTTTTATTGACAAGAGTGAGCATTCATTTCTGAAATAAATGTCTCAAAGACTAAAGAAAGCCTCCATTGTCCTTGTTTTTGTACTTCGATACCTCGGTACTGTAATTGTTAGCCATTTTATCTTTGATGCAGATGCAGCTTGGGCTAAATCATTTAAATGACAACGGTATATGTATTTTTATTGGAAATGCAGAACTTTAACATTCACTGTTGCTCAACGTAAAAGATAAGGCTAGACTAAATGGATTCATTGTGATGAAATCTTAATTCATAGGAATAAAAAGAATAAAATCAAGGTCATCCTATAAATTATGTCTACATATTGGTGGCTTCTGATCACATACACATGGTATTCAATGGCAAGATAAAAAGCTACAAATATTAATCTCTTTTTTTTGTGTCATATTAACAACTTGACCTGATTTTCTGATTTTTATTAGTAAAAACAAATTAAAACTTTGCATTTCTCTTCTTCTACTTTGCAGTTACCTACCTTATGTTTATCTGTTGCATAAAATCCCATTAATATGCACTGAACTTTGTGGTTGCAATGTGACAAAATATGAAAAGGTTTTAATGACATTAATCCTCCTGCTTCATGATTCGTGAGTCAAACTATTGAAGTAAACTAAGAAAGAACAACCGTCATGATGTAAATGAATTAAACCTCACTTGTTAAATTTTTTTCTCATGTTGGGTCACCTTACACATTTTAAAATCATTTGAACTTCACCGAATCTCACAGAAGATCAAGTGAAGGACTCAAATGTCCCAGATGTCATCTTTTCTAAAAATTGCAGAATTTCTTGCTGTGTAGTTTAGATTTCTTGAAGCAGGAATCTCATTCTGAAACTGGAAAATTCTCTTAAATGTGATTCCTCGGCATAGGTAAAGTCAAATTTTTAACACATCCACATTATATATATACATTTACTCCCTTTCAGTCAGAGAGTGAGGCACAATGTATTACAATTCAGCTGACTTCTCTTTGTGTATGGGTCATAGTTTCTGATTTTAATACAAGTAAAGTTAATTTGTTTTATTTTGGGGCCAAAGTTAAGCTTCATTTATTTCTAAACACTTTTGAATTCAGTAAGTATATTCGCTTGGACGTTGTATTGAGTATATGCATATATGTCTGTGCATGTGCCTGTATTTGATACATCGTGTGTGTGTGTGGCTCTGGGTTTGAAGGGGAGGGCTGACTTTGCAGCAGCATTTGCAACCTGCAAGAAAAGACGAGAGCTCAAATGTGTCAGGACAGCAAACTGAACTTTCTCTGAAAACGCCAAGTAAGTTTGACCAATTTTTTCAGTAAGCCTGCTCTGTAGAGCCTTTAGTTGTGTTTTAACTACAATATGTTTAATTCATTTGATACATTAGCATAACACTTTGTATCAATTTTAAATGAATAACATTATGTTATTACAGACATGACTACATTTAAGAGTTTTAAAAATTAGCATCTTCATTTCTAACACTGATATTGCATTGTAAAGTTAGAATACCATTTTTGAGGAATAGTTATTTATAATTTTATATGTATTTAAATAAGTGGAAAAAGCTTCTTATTTTGCAAAATTGTTATGTATAGCTTAATGTAAACTGAACTCAAATTAAAGAAGTTCTGTTTTATGAACCTACAATATTTGTGTATATCTAATTTTGAAATCAGTTTCTCAAACTCAAATAGGAGTGAAATGCTATTTTCAAAAGTTTGATTATCCTCTCAATTCTTCCAGAATGTTAATCTAGTAGTGGCTTAAAACAGTTCTCATTGAAAAGTGCATTGTGAGTGGTATTGGGTCATATCTCTAATGGATTCTTTTGCAGGTGGTGTTCTGTGGATTTCATGGCTCTCCTCACCAACATAGCCATCCTGATGGTGCTCGCTTGTATTTCCCATCAGATGATGTTGGGCAGCTGTCAGAGGAGCCAAGGACGTAGAGGACGGGGGGACAGAGGACATCGCAAGGAAAGATCAGGACTGAGTCGGGTGAAACCTGTTGGAGACAAACTGGTCACAAAAGATGGTTCACATTGCACCTGGTCTGCAACAGAAAATGATCCATTGTTCCTCTTCGTCACTTGCAAAACAGGGGAAACCAGCTTCATCTGTAGATATACGGGCAGACCAGCTCTTTGTCCCCAATATACATCCAACACTTTACTCTACTGGAAGCAGATTACCAGGGCTCTGAAGAAGCAAAACAGCCTGTGTCATAATGAAAAGTTATTGGTGAGGGCAGGCGTGTGCAGACAAGCCCCCAGAGAGGCTCACTTCAGACTCGTAGTTGTGCAGAAGACGGTGACTGCCTCGCCTCACATTCCAGCAGCTCCAGACACAAACGCCAAATCCTGCCTGTCTAAGAACAAGAAACTGGCCAAAGAGTTCTGCAGTGATTCCTGGTCTAGTGTTTGCACATTTTTTTCCACCATGGTGAACAATTATGATTGCTGAGAGAGAAACAAGCTTGGCTTGTGTGATCACTTCAAAACATACTGTATTTAAGTGTATACTTCATGTAGCTAGTGGTCTTGTAAAGCGATTATAAGAGACTCAACTTGTAAAGTGATAGTCACTGCATACTGGAAATAAAATCACACTCTTTATTCTACTTGCATAAAAATATGTATTTATATGGTAGAAACTAAAATGTTATGTGAACATTAAAGTATTTCCAATTGAGATGATGAACAATTAAATCCATCCAAAATAAATCATAGCCATCCACACAAGCTAAGTTTCAACTTCATTATTTAATGGGGACTCTTAATGAAGCAGTTTTACTGGATATTAAAAGGCAATTCATATACTAAATAACAATAAATAATGGGTAATGAGAAATATGGGTCTTTGAGCAGTTTAAATCTTTCTTTGTAGCCTGTGAGCAGTTGTGGAAAATTATTGTTTTGAAAAATTATTGTAAGCATTCCCCAAGGATCAGTTCTTGGTGAAACGTTTTTTCAGGTTATGTATGAATTATTTGCCATTTACATATCCAATTAAACTGTGCCAGAGTTCACTTTTAGTGAACCAATACGTACTGTAGGTTTGTAGGCGGACCAGAGTTTGTGCATTAAACCTCCCCAAACAAACCTGACACTCTAGGCAAACAAACTAGAGTTTGGTGAAAGCATCCTAAATATCAGGGCAGTTATCAGATTAGCTTTTCCAACTGATCATCTTTTAGCTATTAATCTTTTTTTAAATGTTTGTTTCCGTTGGTTACATTAATTCAAATGTATTTAGGTGTGAAGCAGCCATGCCAGGTAATGTTATCTTATTTCATGCCAGGAATTGTAATATCAAGTTCAGTCAGAGGGCTTCAGGTTAATTTCTAGAGAGAAATTAAAATCTACATTAGAAAATAAACATCAGCTTTTATGAACTATTTTATTTTCAGGCTGCATATTTTTAGATTTGTCTTCTTTTGATTTAATGTTCCTACTAGTAATAATCTGCTCATACTTAAATCGTCAGCAGCATGCAGAGTGTGAATATCAGCATTCAGCAGTCAGACAGAGGTCATTAAAAAGAAGACTTTCAGAAACCATCGTGGCTTGAGGCCAGACTGGGCTTTTAGGAAGGAAATAATTTTATACTTTTCTCTTGATTTAGTCCTGAACTCCTGCTGAAACATAATGCAATCCCTGCAGCTGATATCCATTGAGTTCAGAATCTCAGCAGGCTCCTTTCTGCTCTTTGTTGTAGAAAAAAAAAAAAAAAAACATTTAGGCAATGTGGTAAAAGACAAAAGAAAATTAAAGCTGCAAGCAGCCTCGAACGGCCCTCGCAGCCAAGCGCCGCTCCGGCCTATTGCCACCGCGGGGTACGAGCAACCGCCGCCTCACGCCAGCCACCACAGAAGCTCTCACGCAGTTTTCAGCTCCTCCGCCCGCACCGCGGAAGCTGTTGCTCAGATTCCATCAACGCTGGCCACGTGCTAACACAGAAGTTGTTGTGCAGTTTCCGTGCCCGTCCACCAGGCGGTACGCACTGATGCGTTCGGAGGCGCTCCTTGACGATGCAAAAAATGTGGTGCAGATTCATTGGTTTAGCGAGGAAATATAGCTGGCGGATTAATGTAGGACGCGCAGTGGAGTCAAAATATATTTCAATGCTGTTGTTCTCTTTAGAGGTCAACAAAGGTCATACGTATCCAATTTGGCGTCAGTCGAATGATCCACATGTCATATACAGCCGATCATATGCACATGGCGAAGTACTACAGTTCGTCATTTTTCATCATTTTCAGCTGTGTTTCTAAAGCACTCTATTTCATTGTTGGAGTAATACTTACTCAGAGTGTCGAATTACTGAAATGGTTTGTAAGAAGTAAGAAAACGCTACATTTACTGCATGATTTAATTCAACAAAAATTATCTGAGACATTTATATCCTTTTAGAAATCTCACGGCAACGCTCTCACAAAGTTTTCACGCTCATCCGCCCGTGGATTGGTGGAGGAACACTGACACCTACTGGCGAAATATTGATATTGTTCTTCATCCTGTTTATCTGCTGTTTCATTTGTGGAGCAATACTGACCCCAAGTGGCGAATTACTGAAATGATTTATAAACGCCAAAAATGGGGTCAAAATCTGAACTTCAATCTAAAATGGCCGACTTCCTGTGGGGTTTAGACCATGGCTCCAAGAGACTTTTTTGTAAGTCCTGACATGGTACACATGTGTACAAAGTTTTGTAATTGTAGGTTAAAGCATGGCTTGGGGCTGATCATTTAAAAGTTTCTAGGGGGCGCTATAGAGAAATTATGCCACGCCCACCAAATATTCTGATGGATTCCTGTCAGGGAGTGGATGAGGATCCATCCTTGTGAGTGTGGAGCAGCTGGGCCTAAAAATGTGGAATTGAGAGCCAAATGTATGGCGATGGCGTTACAGGTCACTTCTCCACGCCGCCACGCCCACCTGCTCCATCGTAGCTGGTAGGGATTAGAATCCTCAATACACCAACATGTCTTCTGTGTCTGGGCACAGTTTCATGTTGATGAGGTCAAAGGGGTGAGATAGCGACCGTTAACAGTAAAACATTACACTTCCTGTTCTCAGGGGGCGTGGCTTAAGTGATGTCATCATTCGACCATAGGGTATTGTAGGACACCCGATGATGATCAATCACAGTAACTTTGGTGCCTCTGTGAGTTTCTGTGTAGGAATTATAGCAGTTTATGTTTTTATGGCGTGTAGGTGAACTTTGACCCCTGCTAACCCCCCTTCAGCATTCTCAAAAACTCACCGTTTTGATAACTTTAGATGGGACATGCCTTATGAACAGACTGACCGAGTTTGAAGCCGATCAATGGAAATCCCTAGGAGGAGTTCGATCAAATACGGAGGCTGTAAACGGCAAAAATGGGGTCAAAATCTGAACTTCAATCTAAAATGGCCGACTTCCTGTGGGGTTTAGACCATGGCTCCAAGAGACTTTTTTATAAGTCCTGACAAGGTACACATGTGTACAACGTTTCGTAATTGTAGGTTAAAGCATGGCTTGGGGCTGATCATTTAAAATTTTCTAGGGGGCGCTATAGAGAAATTAGGCCACGCCCACCAAATATTGTGATGGATTCCTGTCGGGGAGTGGATGAAGATCCATCCTTGTGAGTTTGGAGCAGCTGGGACCGAAACTGTGGAATTGAGAGCAAAACGTATGGCGATGGCGTTACAGGTCACTTCGCCACGCTGCCACGCCCACCTGCTCCATCTAAGCTGGTCGGGGTTGGAATCCTCAATACACCAACATGTCTTCTGTGTCTGGGCACAGTTTCATGTTGATGAGGTCAAAGGGGTCAGATAGCGACAGTTCACAGTAAAACATTACACTTCCTGTTCTCAGGGGGCGTGGCCAAAGTGATGTCATCATTCGACCATAGGGTATTGTAGGACACCCGATGATGATCAATCACAGTAACTTTGGTGCCTCTGTGAGTTTCTGTGTAGGAGATATAGCAGTTTATTTTTTTACGGCGAGTAGGTGAACTTTGACCCCTGCTAACCCCCCTTCAGCATACTCAAAAACTCACCGTTTTGATAACTTTAGATGGGACATGCCTTATGAACAGACTGACCGAGTTTGAAGCCGATCAATCGAAATCCCTAGGAGGAGTTCGATCAAATACGGAGGCTGTAAACGGCAAAAATGGCCTCAAAATTGGACCTTCAATCCAAAATGGCTGACTTCCTGTGATACTTGCACTATGACATTAATTGTAAATTTTGAGCGTCCTGGGGAGCTCTACAAGTGTACCAAATTTCATGTCTCTAGGATAAAGTAAGTGAATAGCAATGGGTCCTTTGAAAATTTCTAGGTGGCGCTATTGAGCCATTTCTTGTGGGATTTTTGTGATGACCTTAAAAATCAAAATTTTTAAACAGGCTTAAGGCCTCCGCCAAGTTTGGTGAGTTTTCCAATATGATAAGGCCCCCAAAAAGCCCCCCAAAGAGGTGGGAAGAAAAATAATAATAATATTAAAGCTGCAAGCAGCCTCGAACGGCCCTCGCAGCCAAGCGCCGCTCCGGCCTATTGTCCACCGCAGGGTACGAGCAACCGCCGCCTCACGCCAGCCACCACAGAAGCTCTCACGCAGTTTTCAGCTCCTCCGCCCGCACCGCAGAAGCTGTTGCTCAGTTTCCATCAACGCTGGCCACGTGCTAAGACAGAAGTTTTTGCGCAGTTTCCGCGCCCGTCCACCAGGCGGTACGCACTGATGCGTTCGGAGTCGCTCCTTGACGATGCAAAAAATGTGGTGCAGATTCATTGGTTTAGCGAGGAAATATAGCTGGCGGATTAATGTAGGACGCGCAGTGGAGTCAAAATATATTTCAATGCTGTTGTTCTTTTTAGAGGTCAACAAAGGTCATACGTATCCAATTTGGCGTCAGTCGGATGATCCACGTGTCATTTACAGCCGATCGTATGCACATGGCGAAGTACTACAGTTCGTCATTTTTCATCATTTTCAGCTGTGTTTCTAAAGCACTCTATTTCATTGTTGGAGTAATACTTACTCAAAGTGGCGAATTACTGAAATGGTTTGGAAGAAGTAAGAAAACGCTACATTTACTGCATGATTTAATTCAACAAAAATTATCTGAGACATTTCTATCCTTTTAGAAATTTCATGGCAACGCTCTCACAAAGTTTTCGCGCCGATCCGCCCATGGATCTGTTTATCATCGGTGGAGGAACACTGACACCTACTGGCAAAATACTGATATTGTTCTTCATCCTGTTTATCTGCTGTTTCATTTGTGGAGCAATACTGACCCCAAGTGGCGAATTACTGAAATGGTTTATAAACACCAAAAATAGGATCAAAATCTGAACTTCAATCTAAAATGGCCGACTTCCTCTGGGGTTTAGACCATGGCTCCAAGAGACTTTTTTGTAAGTCCTGACATGGTACACACGTGTACAAAGTTTCGTAATTGTAGGCTAAAGCATGGCTTGGGGCTGATCATTTAAAATTTTCTAGGGGGCGCTATAGAGAAATTAGGCCACACCCTACAAATATTGTGATGGATTCCTGTCGGGGAGTGGATGAAGATCCATCCTTGTGAGTTTGGAGCAGCTGCGCCCAAAAATGTGGAATTGAGAGCCAAACGTATGGCGATGGCATTACAGGTCACTTCGCCACGCCGCCACGCCCAGCTGCT